CTGCAAAGAATATTCCAGAGCATAGTTACTTTTAAAAAAGTGATTAAACGTGTGGTAGAAAGAAGAGACTTGTTTTACATGTTACTTGTTACACCATGCTTAAAAGCTTGAAGTAATAAAGCTGTTCCCTTATTGGCATTAAAACTAATTTTAGTGTAATTACTCATTAACACAGCTCGGCACTGCTGAGCATTCTGCTCACACGGCTGTGTACAAATCAGTTTGTAATGGCACTCAAGGCATTTTGAGGAAGGATGAGGAAAAAAGGAAAGGAAATAACCTAGTCTTCTAAATACGTTCCACAGCTATCAACGGTACCAAATTGCTACCAAGCTGGTATTTAATTGCAGCTTTCAGTGGGTGAGTTTTCTTGCCTATTCGTTGCTTACCTTGCTCCTACAATTTACAAGTCCTCTGTGCTTTTATTTTGCTCACAGTTTATTTTTCAGACGTCACTATTTTTTTGTTGTGTTTGACCAATTTACCTATAATGCTGTCAGAAGGAATATTTCTGGGTTTGAGTCTTGCGCAAGGATAAAACTGGGTTTCTGTTCATCTGAGAAATCTTGGCAGCGCTCCCAGACTCTTCATTTCAAGGCCTGCAGGTTCTTCTAGCACTGTGTGCAGGTCACTTAAGTAAAAGATGGATCTTTTCCATTATAGAGGAAGACAAATACATGAGTATGTGGGATGTGGTTTAGATTAAGGAGATGGATTTTAAAAATTTATCAGGGGAGTAATTTTCCTTAGAGAAATTTCAGCATTTTGTTTCAATTTAATTATTTTTAAAATACTTGTATTACATTTTAACTAAATAGAATGATTTTTAAAGATAGGCAAAATGCATCCTTTGCATCAAGAACGTCTAATTTGAAGCAGATCACCCAACAATATTACCGAGATGTGCAAGAGAAACCGAAGTATTAATGTAAGGTGGTGGAAGATAGGTGGTTTGCATTTCGAGTGAATAGGTATCCCAGCTCTAAAAAGACAACTGCTGTACTGGAGAACGGCACTCTCGTACCGTTCTTTGGAGTTTTGTTCTTTGTAAGTTCATGCAGTAGAAATTTGTCTCCTGCAGTCTTTCTGGAGTTAAAATGAACAACTGAAATGGTGGTTATAAGGAGTTTCTGTATTGAAGTAGCCACTGCCTGTTGTGCTGGATATGAAGTGTTTTAACTTTCTTTTTAAAAAATGGAAGCGTTTCACGTGTTAAGTAGTTCAAATAAATGTGTGAAGCAAGCAATCGAGTTCACCGGAATGGTTCAGAAGATGCTACTTCAGAAGGCGTTTGGCTGCTGCAGCTGTAAAATCCAAGTTTGTTTTTATAACAGCTTCCCTATAAGATTATTCCTCACACTGTTTCATGGTTTTAAATAATATTCTTAATGTAGTTAGCTAATAGAAGGGTAGGAAATGAAAGCTCTCTGCAAGAGAAAAATAGTCAGTTGAAGTGTAAAGTGAAATTTGAAATAAAATGGGAGTCAATCGAGCAGACACTTTTGGAAAGATGCTGAAAACTATGGGCACTGAGGAGGTTTTTGCAGACTACCGTCACCTTGTTCCCCCGTGGCAGCATGATGTGGAAGGAGTAAAAATAGGTGCAGTGAGTAAGTCTCCAGTCCAAGGGAACTATTAACATGGACTCAATTTTAAACATGGGAGAAGCCTGGCTGACTTAACTGGGTCCATAACTGAGACACTGAATTGACACTCTAACTGTCACTTAGGAGCAGAGAGGTGATAGTGGGGAAATCCCCTGACCCCGACGGAGGACTCCACACGGGTCAGTGTTGAACTCTGAGGTTCCCACCAGCCCCTTTCTCCAGCCTGTCGGGTCCCTCTCTCTACCAGCACATCTGCTGCTCCTCCCAATCCGCTGTAACCTGCAAACCCGCTACTGGTGCTTTCTGCCCTGTCAGCCAGGTCACTGGTGGGGATATGAAACCCTCTCTTCTGTCCCAGTATCGAGCCCTGGGTAATGCCACTCATTACCTGGGCTGCTGCTGAGTCCTCAACCCCATTCACCACGCGGCTGGGAGCCTGGTGGGCCAGTGATCTCCCCACACCCACCCGTCCAGTCCAGATTTGGCTTTCCCAGTTCCACCTCTGCATGCCTGGATGGTGGCTCTGCATTTCGTTTGGTTAGGCATTTTAGTCTCTGGTTTTGCGTCGTTTACACTTTCTGTGCTTACGCTGGTCCGGGAGGAGTTCCCCGTTCAGCCAAACTGCCTTCTTGCTGTGCACATTTGTTTTCTTGCATGTAGGAAAATGGATCCTTCAGGGATTGTGAGCAGTTTGTCCCTGAAGATCAGCGAGCTCTCCTGCTCTCAATTGCCTGTGGGGGCAGCCGGCCGTGGGATTGCACTTGTCCTGTGACTGTGCTCAGATCTCTTCCCCTGTAGTTCAGTGTCCTGATCATGCCAAAGCCCTTCCTCAGTTTCCTCAGGATCTTAAATTCTACCATCTGAAGGTCATTTCGACAAAAGATGCAGGACTACCAAATCTCTGAACAGAGTTTCCTTATTTATGAATAGCAAATGGAAGGAGGGCATCTCTCCTGCTGGGTCATCCAGCACCGGTGTCAAGTTGTCCACAACACGTTTTGGCGTTCACTGCTTTGAGAAATGGTGATGTTGTAGGTTGGAGTAAGGTTATAGCGGTAAGTGTAAGTGCAGACAACTTTAGCTAGAATATTTTCTGCTCCGAGATGTGGCTGTTGCTGCTTGGTATGCTGGGTTGTACCACGGAACAAGGGATGAAGCTGTGTAATGAAATACGCTGTACCGAGTAGTCTGCAATAACAAGGTTATCCTTGGGTCATAGAGGCCCTGTCTGAGTCCAGAGTAAGAGATAAAACGTGATGTGTTTCTCTAAGAAATCAAATTATGGGAACATAAAAATAGTTTAGATTTTGCAATGAATGTGAAATTAATGGTGTGGTCTATTGATCGGAAGGGCGGTGCTGGAGAATACTTAGTTGTGGCTATTACAGTATGGAAAAGATAATTAAGAAGATATTCTTGAGTACTTGTTTTTCTGTGGTCTGTGTTTTCAGTACCAAAATATGTGAGTTCCTGGTTCTGGGAGTCTTGCAGAGTCCTGGAAAGATACAGGTATTGAACTAAAAAGTTTTGATTTTCAGTATGAAAGTGTGAAGCAGCATGGAATTGAAATGTAATTGAATCGGTGGCTGCGTTTACACCAGTACTTGCTGGGGGGGGGTGTGTGAAACTTTCCCAGTTGAGGGGATGGGCAGTATCTGAGAGAGGAGGTAAAACATGCAGGAGGGCCTCAGGAAAGGCGGGAGGCACGGCGGGGCCTCACCGCTGCTGGGCCCTGGTGCCGGGCAGCCCAGCCTTGGCTTTGCGGCGGCGCGCACAGCCGTGTCGGTGTGGAGCTGTGAAGTGGCTCTCGGTGCTGCCCACGTGCTTCTGTTACGTTGTGCAAACCCGGTAAAAGAAAATGGTTTGTTCTTCCAGCATTGTCAGTAGTTGCCCAAGAGACAGAAATGAAAAAAAAAAAATGCGAGATCTGACAATTCGAGACCTGTGTGTGAGATGATGCTTTGGTTGACAACGTTTTTTTAGGATTTAAAATCAGGTCGGTGTTGATGATAGACACAGTGCAGCTGAGATGTTCTCAGTGTGCCTGCGTGGAGGTTGGGTTGTTCAGATAACATTTTCTGATTTAGCCAGGTTTTTTGTGTGCAGTTTTCTCCTTGTCTATCGAGGTACAAGACCACGTATTCTGATGGTATGTTAGGCGGAGATGCTGCAGCTCTCAACAAAAGCTCTACTAGTTCTGTGCTGCTTTCTGGGGAAACTCGGAGCCATTTTAGTTAGTTTCCATAATTAATAAGTGAATAAATGTATTTGGCAGCCTGGATTCCCGTGTGGAAAATGTCATCGGGTGGCTTAAGCTTGGTAAATAGTTAAGAATCCAGAAAAATTCAGGGTATCCTGAGCTTTAGGGTTTTGTTACTGATTGTACTTCCTGTAATAGTCTCTGGTAATTGGGGTCCAGCTGCTCGGAATATTACTGTTAGATTTGCTGGATGGATTGCTTTAATAGGATTTGGAGAACAGCTATTTGTACATTGCATCTTGTGGTGTTAACTTGCCAACCTTTTAATGCAATAATCCCAGACATTTATCCTAGCTTTATAGTAGTAATACAGGAAGACGTACATGACTTACCACCAAAAAAATTTGTAAAGTCTTCGTATAATATGAAGCAAGAGTTGTTTATGCATGTTAGTATCTTCATAAAATGATGTAACATATGTTATGAGAGGGAGGAAAAGCACTGAGGGAAAGAAAGCAGTGACCTTGGTGAAAGTTAGGAAGTCAGTACTTCCACTGCCATACCGAGTTTGTCACATCTTACCGCTGGCAGTAGGAGAACCCAGCCAGTTCAGAAAGCAGTTACCGTGTGAATTCAGTGCTTGATTGCACAACCTTGGATGTGTTTGCGCTATTTAAATGAATTTTGTGTATTTGTCTGTCTTTTTTTTTTTTTTTTTTATGATTGATAATAGTATAAATTTATTCTGCATGTTAATGAAATAAAGTAGAAAATTGGGTCGGGATATATTTTTGAATGGATAATACAAGTTGAGTTTTTTATTGGTAAACGTTTGGTATTACATCTGGTTTACAAAGAAATGAAAATACTGTTTGCTGCTGGTATGTCCTCTTATGAGGTCATATTTTATCCTCAGTTTTCACCCTTCCCTTTCCCTTGCCACTTCCATTACAATGGAGATTTGGTCTGCTTGCACGACAGTGACGTGTCCCTTAATATTTCCCATTAGTTTTCAGTAGTAACCTTTGCCTGCATGTCAACCTTCAGTTTAATGGCCTTTTTTGTGTGTGTTCATTTTCTTTTGTTTCCCATCGTGGTTTTGTTTATTTCTTTTGTGTTTTTTTTTCTGTTTTCTTTTTTTAAACCGTGGTGATGTTTGCCCTTCATATTCCCCAATGTTTGCACATGACAAGATGTTGCCATCCCAACATTACCTCCCACTTCACTGACCAGTGCCACTAATGACCATCTAGCACCAGCTACAACAGGACCGTTGCCTTCAGCCCCGCGGGACGTCGTGGCCACCCTCGTCTCCACTCGCTTCATCAGACTGACGTGGCGGACGCCTGTATCGGACCCTCAAGGAGACAACCTCACCTATTCAATCTTCTACACCAAGGAAGGTATAAACAGGTAAAGATCTCGACGTGTGAAATGGGTTGTGCTCTTTCACGACTCTTCTTCACAGCGGCTTTGCTTGGAATCACTATAAACCTTAAGTCTCTCATGCTCCCAAGTCTTACAGGCTGCGGAGTCCAAGGGCTTGTGTTCCCTTCCCTCCTGCACCCTGCTATGAAGAAGTGCATTTTTATTTGCTTTGCTGCTGCAAATACGTATTCTTGTGGGCACTGCTCGCACGCGGTTTTGATTGACTGCAAACAGTTGCTACCTGCTTTCAGCAGACTGCTTAGAAACTAAGAGCAAGCATAGACTGTAACACCTCTTCAGGAACACTGACACTGCTATAAATGCCATCCCCAGCGGGCCCAGAAACATCCTCCAGATAAACCACCTGCTACTGAGAGCGAGCAGTCTCTTCGTGCTTTAAAACGCTGTAAATGTGGGCTGATTCTAGAGAGAACTGTGTGGTAGGTGTTGGCCAAATGTCCATTCCCTCCTCGTGATCCCTGTAAGTAGAAATTTCGTGAATGTGAAGCATTCATGAGGGGGTTTTTTTGACCTATTACCTCAATGGTTTGGTTCAGTCTACCTGTTTTCCTTCATGGTGGGATCTGCTGCTCAGAATTAGTTTCAAATTGTGATAAGTTTGAAGACGTTGGAGCTAACAACAATTTTGAGCAATGCTAAATTAATTGAAAATTACCTTGATTAGTAGATTTATTACTCAAGAGAAAATTTTCTGTCTACTTACTGACTGGAGTGTGAGACTCAAAGTCATTTGAAGAGAATATAAAATGCACCACTATTTATGGTGGATTGTCACTTTCTTAATTTTGTGGGTAGACATCTTGTCCAGGCTTCTGAGAGTTGAGGCAATTAGTAAAATATTCTTTGCCTCACAGATGCTGTTTTTCTACTACTTCCTTACTTTGGTAATATTCTGATTGGAGATATTTTAAGTGAGATAGGAAAAAAGGTGAGATCTTGCCAGTCATTCTTGCTTCTTGCCTCTCCTCCTTCACATTCCTGGTTGTAACCACTCTGCCTTCTGGGTTTTTAGGAAGTGAGTTGCTGGAGATGGCTTCATGCCTCTCTGTGTGCAGCTTTTGAGGAGAAAGAAACACAGCCCCTTCCACTACATACAAGGCTATGGAAACCTAGAAAATATTACTCTTGGGCCAAAAGCACGTGCAGAACAAAGAGTAAGAGGAATCTCACGATTTGTGGTGAATGAATTAGGAAATCACAGGACAATCTGCAGAAACTGCCGTTTCCAGTTCTTGCGCAGCAACCCCCCGGGTTTGAGTTAATGGAGTCCACAGAAAGTTTGCACAGCAACGTACTTAAGCTGGTGCTTATATGTACGCAGGTGCTTTCATTGACTTCAATGAGATCTTTGTTTGCTTAAGTGTCCTTCTGGATCAGGGTTCAAAGCAGGCTCTGAAAGCATTTTATTAGCACATACAGTTTTCTCAACTTTACCACTCCTTTGCTTTTTGGAAGTTTGGTGGGTTTTTTTGTTATGCCTCATAAAGACAGTTGGTATCACACATTTCACAGACCGGTATGAAAATGCTGTGAAACCCTGCCTTTCAACATGGATTTAGAGAATGAGAACAATAACGTTTAAGAAAAAAAGAAGGAAAAAAAAGTTCTGTTTACCGTTTTTATGTTACGTGGTACGTTTTGACCGGTTGGTCGGACCTTGTGGAAATGTTGGTTGGTTATTGAATAAAGAGATAGATGACTGTGACGCACACGCCTAAGCGGCTGGAAATCAGAAGATTTTGAAGTTAAGCTTGGATTTGCAACACTCCTTCCTTCCTCAGCATTATAAAACGCTGCTTAAATTATCTCTTTGTAGTCCTTGAATTATACATGTTTGTAGATCTTTATTGCAGTTTTGAGTGCATATATACCATCTCCTCATACTATCATATTTTTGCCTGAATGTACCATTTTCATTACATGCTTTACTGGATCCTTTCAGTAACCTAAGTGTTATCTCTTCCTTGCTTGTATTTGAGCGGTGCTCAAACTAGGTGCTTGGTTTATTTACCTTTTAATTCAGGTTTGTGAAAAATGAAAGAAATACCTGTAACATCGAATGGGTTAGCTAGATATTCTGATACCTCTAAACCATATTTAAAGTGCCGTAGAGAGTCATCATCATAGTGCGAGTTGTAGGAGCACTTAATCCCTCTGCAGCACACGAGGCCTGTGGTTGCTGAGGTATCAGCTGCCTCAGCCGCTGCTGATTTACATTGCTTTTATTTTTATCGGTTCTGTGAAAGGAGATACAGACACACGGTGAGGTGTTCCTTAACTTTGCCCTCCGAACTTATTTAGAGGACCGCCAGAGGACTGGAACGTGGCTTGCCCCCCGTGATCAGGGGGCACTCCCGTGCCCCGTGTCAGCTTTACGCCACCAACTGCTTTGGGTGCCGAGAGGTGCCCTCTGCCCCCCAAGAAACGATGCATTTCATGTTTTAAACTCAGTGTCTGCTTGCAGAAAAGTGTTGGCCCCTAAGCTGAACGTTACAGAAGATTTGTAAGCAGCAGCAAACAAGGAATTACAACAAAAATGCAAACGCTGCTGAAGTTGCAGTGGTTGCTTTTGTCACTTCTGCGTGATTGAAGCTGGGTTTGATGGGATGTAGTGTCTGCTGAGGAGTGAGTGAGGATGAAGATTGGGAGGACTTCAGGTTACTCTTCTGACCGAGCAACTGAAACTATCCATGGGAAGAGGAGCACCTCAAAGCATGGAAGTGGGCTGTGAAGGCGGCTTCTTTCACCGGCGAGTGTCACCGGCCGGTGGCGTGTCTTCACGCTGGCTTGAGGGTGGCAAAGGGGGGGCTGTCAGCGAGGCAGGGACGCACGAAGGAAGCGGGTGTCCCGCGGCTTCATTGTCACACCTCCAGAAGAATTGAAGCGGTCTGATCCGGTGCGAATGACTGTCTTCCTTACAGATTGTGTAGTTGCACGGCTGTTTCATCCTTGTGTTAGGTATTCCAAATGGAAGGCAGTTCCCCTGAAAAGGGGTACGAAAATTCAAATGTGTTGGGGGGGGGTAAAGGGAGATTTGAGTCTGTGAAACTTTAGGCAAGCACTCAGGCTTCAAGATCTGGACAAAAATAAAAGAAATAGCACGTTGCTGGCACAAGGTGGTAAATTACACATGTGAGATAGTCAAATAATATTAAACCCATGGCTCAACGTAGTGTGCTTCAAACACAGAAAATGGAGTTTAATTGTGTGTAATCACACTGTCAAAACGTCTCTCTGAGCTCACTGCCAGGCTCTACAGCTGACGTGGCTGGCACAGACAATATTCACTTTTTAATAATTCCCTGAAGGTTGTTTTTGTAAATTTAAGTGTAACTTTAAGGTTCACATTTCCAGATTAACTCTTGTTTCTGGTTTTGAACTGTAGGCTTTTTCCCGTAGGTACTTGATAGCTATTTTAAACCTTAACTCTAGTTTACAAAGCTCTTTAATTGGGGATTAAACTGGAATGAGTTAGAATCGTCCTAATGTTCTGTAGGGTAATATAGTTATTCATATAGACCATCTGTTTTGTTACCTATTATGCCTACCTAAACACATCAGAGCTCGTAAAAGGTGCTCAAGGCTCCCTAAGAAAGGACATAAATGAGAGATTCATGTAGCACTTAATTAGATTAATCTCAACATATTTTTAACATACTGTTGTGAGGGAAGGCACAGTTCCTAGTCATTACTGAAAATTGCAATACTTGGACGTGTCTATTTATTTTTTGATAAATGTTGACGTTCCATTAAAATCATTTTGACTTTTTTTTTGTAATTTTAAATAATAACCTTGGATTGCTGATTTTTTTTTTCCTAGATAAAATCAGTGTGTGCATTTACACCTGAGGCAGAAAAGACAATATATTTTGCATGTCAATGGAAGACAAATGTTATTCTACAGCTGTGAATCAGTTGGCACTTATTCTAGGTTTTCAAATACCATCATTGTATCTAAGACATGTCTTAAAGGAAACCATCCATTTGAAAATGCATTTTCAAGCAAACATTTTGCACTAGCTGGAACTGGAAAAGTTAGCAAGAGAAAATATTTATCTTTTTCTCGTCCCCCCAGTTTCATTCTGTGGTGGGTATATGATATTTCTTTAGTGTGTGTCTCACTTTCCTGTCAGCTTCTTTCTTGCAAAAATTACTTTATAAACATTAAAAGAAGAAAAATCTTTTGTAAACACTTTTAATTCAAATATGCTATAATGATGCTGCTCTTGAATGAAAGAAATTAATAAAAATCTGAAATAAATTAAGCTGTTCATACAATGGCATTTTAACTCAACTGTCATGAAGGAGAATATTCTGGAATATGTGTTTAAATAGATCTTTAGTTACAGTAAGTGTATTGTTTCCCTCTGTATAGGTACAGTGTAATAGTGCAGAAGTCAACAGGGATTTCAAAATGTTTTCAACCAAGTTACGTTAAATCAACCGTACCAGTTGATTTAAAAGGAAATAAATTAAAAATTGAGATTTTGGCATCACATTTCCATGATATAAACTAAAGCATAATGGCTGGAAGGTAGGAAAGGGAAGAATGTGGAATAATTTTGCCTGGGCTTCTGCATTAAAAATGATTTAATAGCAGCTAATCATCAGGATGAGAATCGTCTGCCCTCTACTGTAGAGCTAAACAAAGTCTAACAGACAAAAGGGAAAGAATTGTATCCAAAAGGATACAGTTGTATCCAAAGCAGTCACGTTTTCCCTTTATTTTCTCAGTGGGGAAGTTTTTTATTTCTTCTTTTGTAATACTACTTTTATTTGGTTTTACAGGGAGTAGGCAGCTTCTTTGCAAGGAAGGACGGTCCGTAGGTGCCGTTACCCAACCGTAGCTCTCTGAAAGTTCACGTGGCGTCAGCCATGTGGTGGAAATAAAGGCTGTAGTTAGTTGATGCTTAATCTTTTCATCTTCCCCTCAGTCCTGAAGTTTGAGAAGAACCGATCGTGTTTCCTGAACTACGTTTGGCGCAAGACCGCGCTTCCGCGGGGGCGAGGCAGCAGGATCCCCGGGGGTGCAGCGGGGAAGGGGGGGGGTGTGTGTGTGTGTCACTCAACGCAGGGCAGCCATCCTCCCGGCGGCCTCGCTACCCCAAGTCACTTCTCCCAACCGGGTGACGGCTCCCACCTCGCAAAACGTCGGCCTTTTGGCGGAGCCGAACGCAGAGGCTCGGTCGCAGGCGGCGCCGGCTCCCTTCGGGGTGCGGCAGCCCGGAGCGGTCTCCCGGGCCTCGCCGGAGGCCAGCGCCTCCCCCCCACGCTGACACGGGCCCCCCACGACACCCCCCTGCACCGAACCAGTGTAAAGGGGCCCCCCACGACACCCCCCTGCACCGAACCAGTGTAAAGGGGCCCCCCATGACACCCCCCTGCACCGAACCAGTGTAAAGGGGCCCCCCACGACACCCCCCTGCACCGAACCAGTGTAAAGGGGCCCCCCACGACACCCCCCTGCACCGAACCAGTGTAAAGGGGCCCCCCATGACACCCCCCTGCACCGAACCAGTGTAAAGGGGCCCCCCACGACACCCCCCTGCACCGAACCAGTGTAAAGGGGCCCCCCACGACACCCCCCGGCACCGAACCAGTGTAAAGGGGCCCCCCACGACACCCCCCTGCACCGAACCAGTGTAAAGGGGCTGCCCGGGGGGCGGCCTGTGCTGCGTGTGGGCCCGAGCGAGGGCAGCGGAGGCCCCGGCAGGCGCTGCCTTGTGCCGACCCGGCTGCTTGTGCCGTAACGGCCTCAGCGCCTGGGTGGATGCGAGTCCGAGCCCGTGGATGTTTTTACAAAAATCCAAATATGAGGGAGGGACTAAGTTTGGAGGGAGGAAAAGATATTAAAACATCTTCTTGGAAAAATATACAGAAAGCAGCCCCGCAATATTAACAAAAATGTCTTCCATCTCACCAGACCCTATGTGTGCTGCTTAAACATTTTTGATTCTGGCTTCAGAGTAGTAGGATAAACTGTCGCTGTGAACTATCGAATGCTGTTACAAGAATAACAAAGAAACTACTTAGAAATTTGTGATGTCAAGTATAATTTATTCTTCCATGCGTATTTTTTTTGAAGAAGTTACAAAATTAGAAGCTGTTTGTCACTAGCAATTTTGGCATATTATTGTTTTATTGTGTGGCCAGTGCAGTACAAATAACCCCATCATTAGCACATTAGATGTATTCAAACAGGACGCATCTCAGTAGCAACTGTTCCTTCATTTACCTCTCAAAACCCCTCTTACTAATCAGTGATTGTTTCCATCCCCAAACCTTTTGTTTCCTACAGGGAACGCGTTGAAAATACCAGTCGGCCTGGCGAGACGCAAGTGACGATCCAAAACCTGATGCCAGAAACAGTTTATGTCTTTCGAGTTGTGGCTCAGAACAAGCACGGCCCTGGAGAGAGCTCCGTACCGCTCAAGGTGGCAACTCAGCCTGAGGGTAAGCTGTGAATGTTTTGAGTCTTCGTGACTTCGGCATCGATTTGGCTTGTTTGGTTTTATTTTCCCCATTCATGACCTTTCCCAGAGTAAGTTGATGCTTTTAAAAGTTGCATTTGCAGACCACAGTTTCAAAACGGTTTTCCATGTTGGTGCGCTTATATGATTTATTCTCACCGTGAAGAAGAACCGATAAGGCATTCCTTGTTAAATTCTCTGAACTTTCTGTTATAAGGGGAATAGTTCTAAGTTGTCATTAACTGAAAGGAAAAAAAAAGGAAAACTACGAAAATGCCAAGTCTGTCATTTGTTAGGATCATTCAGGACAAAAGTAAACCGACCCAGGAGCAGGATAGCCTTCAGAAAGTTGGTCCCACCTTTGCACCCCCCGGTGAATCCGTGTGAAATGTGGGAAAAATACCCGTCTCTTGCCCGGAGCTGATTAATAGCGAAGTTGACACTAAACTAATTAGCTCCGGAGCACGTTAATGGTTAGGCTTGGTGACTAGCAGAGTTCCGTGCTTCAATTTCAGTTCAGCTTCCTGGTCCAGCACCCAACATCCGAGCGCACGCCAGTTCTCCCACCTCCATCAGTGTCACCTGGGAAACACCGCTGTCAGGCAATGGAGAAATCCAGAACTACAAGCTCTACTACATGGAGAAGGGGCAGGACACTGAACAGGTACGGAGCCTGCCTCTTCTGTGTGAACTGCAGTACCATTAACAGCCCTTTTTCTTCTCTTATGTTTTTACCTTCAGTTTCTAGAAACACCTTGTGAAGTGTTTGTTTCTCTGATAGACTGCATCCTTCAGCTTCAAATACAGAAATATTTAAAATTGAAAGTAGAGCGTAAAATGTATATGGCTTGAAATTAAAACAGGGGGGTTTTTAAGATGGCTAGTTTCAGATATTCGTCAGCGTCGCGTAGCTTTTGGGGAAGTCCATCGTATCACGAGAGGAGAACACAGATAACAGCTGTATCATCACTTAACGGTTCTAGTTCAGCTGGTGTAAAGGACGCTTGCATGGTTTTTTTACAGGTTGGCTCTTTTTTAGTAAAGCAGGCTAACTGCTGATTGTAGCATGATCCTTAATCTGCACAGTCCTTACTTCTGGAGTTCTGTGATCCAGTGATTGATATTTTGATACTGCTGAGTGTATAATTGGTTAAATTTTCTTTTGATTCTACTGGAAGAATCCAGTATGTTCTGTACAAGTATAGTCTGCCACCCGAGAAAAATCACAACTTTGGGAGGGTTAATCACAGTCGTTTAATTTCTCATCTGGTTGCGTGTGAGTATAGTTCCAGCTTTAAAAAGCAAAGGGAAGAATATTTTTGTTAGCTGTTAAAATAATTTTTTACGTCAGTTTTTAAACGGGAACGTTGTATTCTTCAGATAAAATCACCTTTTCTATTTCTGCATCCCACTGTTCAAAATATATTAATAATTTTTACTAACGGGCAAGTTTGCCAGATCCCTTTACAGAACCAGCGACCACGTTATGATCTAATCGAACGGGCAGAATTTTCCCTTGCAAGTTCGCTGTTGGTGTCTTTACAAGTCCTGGCTGTGTATAAACTGTGGGTTTGATCTGCGGGCGCTACAGAAAGGTGTCTTTCCTGCTTTTGCCTTTGAGTGTTACTGTACTGAAATTCCTAAGGCGTGTGTAATAGTTGCAGACCGGATTCTGACCTTGCATGTGTGTTTCTTTATGAACAGGATGTTGATGTAGGAGGACTCTCCTACACCATCAGTGGATTAAAGAAATACACAGAGTATAGTTTCCGAGTGGTAGCTTACAATAAACACGGCCCTGGAGTCTCGACCCACGATGTTGTTGTACGAACGTTGTCAGATGGTAAGCTGCTTTATTCCTTTTTTGATTTCCCCTTTCCCTTTTCCTTTCCCTTTCTTTTCTTGTAATTTCCTTTAAGTGAATTTTTAACCAGACTTCTACAGTTTTTGTTCACTGTTGCCCTGCTTTATTAATAATGTCATTGTTGCATGTTGCCATACAAGGTGAAAGTTCCCCCGGAGGCTTTCCACGTTGGGTGAAGGAAAATTACTATACCTGCAAAGGTGTTCTGATTATGAAACAACGGTGTCCTTCATTTCAACATCAGTAGTTTATTTCATGGGCTATTGAGTCTACACAGTATTAAGAGCAGACAGGAAAGCAACTATATGGAATGCAACTACTCCAAATTAGTTTTTAGGTTCTGTAATATTTTTACATACAAGCAAGACTTTTTTGCTTTTGGGATGTTTTTATTTTAATTGTGGTCAGATGGGAAAATGTTGCAGGTCTTTGGACTCCAGCACAGATACTATTAAATCAATTGCATATAATAATGAAAGCAGGAAGTGGTGACAGTGTTTTCTGTAACGTGATCAAATTGTAGAATGATCAGGGTTAATGTTCACTATTATTTTTTTATAGAGAAATTTGTTTATATATAAGAACAGTCAGACCAAAAGTGAGCCTAGCCTGGAATCTTTCTCCAGGGGTGACCAAAAGCAGAATAGATGAGCAGAGAGGGGTATTAGCCCAAATTTTCCTTGTGTCCAAAAGTTTGTTTCTGGGGGACTTCTTGACTCCACAGTGGTTTTTGAGTATTTACTAATGCAGTTTCTCTTCCATCAAACCCTGCCAGCATCCTCTTTAACCCACGTCAGCTTTTATCGTCCACATCATCAAGTGGACAAAGATGCTACAAATAAGTTCTCTGTGAAGAATCACCCCTTTTTGTCTGTTTTGAACCTGTTCTGTGTTAGCATCATTCGTTGCCTATAGCCATACTGCCTGAAAGAGTGAATCATCAGTGTCCACCAGCTCTCTCTGTCCCACTTCTCATTTTACAGACCTTTGCTGTATTCTCCTTCATCCATCTCTTCTCCAGATTCCAAAGTCACAGCAATGGTTAGCCATTTTTTTTTTTGTGGAAGCTCCTTCAACTGTCAGTGCCCTTTTCTGAACTTTTTTTCTGGTTTTCTTTTCTCCTAGGTGCTTTTAAAAATGGAGGTAGAGGGGACTAAAATGGTATCAGAGATGCGAGTGTGTGATTACTAGCATTTGACTGACTTTTTTGGCTCTTTCTGAGCACTGAGGTGACTTTTTTGGGGTAGACGGGTCTTGGTGGAATTGAGCCATCATCTTGCTTGTAGAGGTAGGATCATTTTTCCCATGTGTGTAGCTTTATCTACCATGAATTTAATCTGTCACTTTATTATCCGGGCGCAAAATATCCTGAGGTCTTTCTGCAGTTCTTAACCATCAAATCTTGTCCATGCTGACGTTTGTCACCTCGCTGCTCACCTCCCTCTCATCACTTACGAACGTGTTGAGCAGCAGGGGTCTCGGCTCACACCACGGTGGAGCTCCACAGGTCATCTCCCACCATCTACGTTCCTATCTTGTCTTTCCTTTCTTCTAGTCAGTTGTTTACTCAGGCAAGGATTTCTATCCCCTCGTTGCTTTGTTTCTTAAGAGCTCTCCAGCAGGTTTGCAGTGCAGTATTTCCCTTTAAAAAGTGACAAATGCATATTATTACTCCACGTATCTATTAATTTAATGCTTTACTGTAGCTTCAGTTGATTTGCCTAATACAGGGTTTTGACTTGAAGTTTCTGAAATAGAGCCCCTTTGAAATACTGGCATCAAATTTGCCATCTCCCAGTGTCAGGGTAACTTGTGAGAGGTTACATATAAGTCACACAACCGTTTCATTCCTGAGTTCCTTGAGAAGTCCCGGATGAGTGGCCTCTAACCCTGGCAACACGGGGCTGTTCGTTATGTCTGACTCTTCTGCAATCCCTCAGATTGACATTTCAGTTTGAGAGATCCTGTAAATCCCTTGTAAAGGGTGTCAGGGAAGCGTCTCCTCTTCCTTTCACCCAGCACAAATGCAAAGAAGGTAGTTGTGTGGCCTTAGCTTTTCCTTTTTCTGTCATACCCTGACCATTTGCTAACTCTGCAGTTTCTCTAAAGGGTTTCCAGCTTCTTATTTGTTTGAAGAAGAATTTATTATTAGTTGCAATGTAGTTTTCAAGTTTTCCTGAAGTTCTGGTTTTCACATTTTAACCTACAGACATTTATTTTCTAAAGATTTCTGAAGGTTGTCATCTTGCTTCTTACAATCTTAGAACCTTGCTGCTTAACCGGGCTGATCTCCCCCTTCAGTATCTCAACTCTTTCTGGATGAATGATGCACATTTTCTTCTGTGGTGTCTGTAAGAAATCTCCGTGTCTCCTGCAGGGATTTCTTTCTAAGCTTCCTTTAACTTCTATTTAATAAGCTTCTGCATTTCTATGGAGGTTTTTACTCCTAATCCGTTACAGTGGTTTGTTGCAGGGTATCTCTAAAGGTATTACAATTTGAACCGAGGTTTAAGCGCTGCTCGTAAGGATTGCTTTTCTGCTCACAGTCTTCCTGACCTGTAAGAAGCGATCGTGTATTACAGCTAGAAATACCGCCTCTGCATCGCACTGGGACCGAGGGCATTTCCCTTGCCAGCCGGCCCGTGGGGGCGCTCGGGACCAGCACCGCGTCGTACCCGCGGTTACCGGGCGGCACTCCAGGCCGGGCCGCGCCTTCCCATCCCCAGCGTGGGATGTCGGTCCAGAGCAGCTCCGCTTTGTTGGTTGGCCTGCTTAGTCTGGTCTAAGTCTCAGCTTACTTGGGCACAAAATGAACTGGGCGCGTGGCGGGATACATGAGTGGATTTACAGGCATGTATCCTTTCCTGCGTCCCTCTGAATGTCTTTCACCCAGTTTGCAATATGGGCGTTAATTATTAATCACTCCTTGTGAAACCCAGGACTTTTTTTTAAGGTTGTTCTGCAAGTAGACACTGACTGTGTAAAACAAACAGGGAAAAAAAAGCTTTACCTTATTTAATTTCCTCCCCTTAACCTGTGTCGCTTTTTAAAGGATTTAGCGCTCAATCCCTAGGTCTGGGGATTTCAGACTAAGTTCAGTTGGCAAGAGAAAAGGAAAACCAAATCCTCATTGTCTCCATTTCTGTTGTGGGATAGTGGGAGAAGGGTATTTTTTTAACCACACCCCAGTGTACCTTTCGCTTATCGCAGGGCTGCTTTCGCTTTACGCGCTCAGGAGCGTTTCCTTATGTATTGCTGTGGCTGCTGTGAGTTATTTGGAAAACACATTATTCAGGCCGGAACATTCTTTAGCCCTGTTGTGCTGCTTCCCTGTCCTTGTGCTTTGCTGGGGCCTCACCTTCCTGAGAGGAAACCCTTATCTCTGCCTTTGAGATAACGTTTGTGAGTCAGAAGTGCTGCGGTGAGGATCTCCTTGCTCTCAGGTTCTCTCTTACATTGTCTTTCTGGCTAACGGAGTTTCATGGTCATGACCAGCGAGTTGCTACAGCTAGGAAAGAACTAACAACAAGTGGAAGTTTAAAAGCGAAAACTGTCTTTGCGGTGCACTTCACCTTTTCAGTAACACGGAGATGTGTTGGCTCGGAGGTTTTCCTGTTACAGAAAATCATGATAACAGAAACCATGGCTAGAATTTTAAATGTGAGTTCCCAGAATCAAGCGTGTAAATTAAAGTTTCGATTTTGAAAAGTAATGAATGTGATCTCTTTTCTTAGAGCTTATGGGAAGTTCCTTTAAATATATAACATTTTACACACACAAAACATTAGATAGCTGTGATAAGTAAAGACCTGAATAAAAAGTGAGTTCATTCTTTGTGATGAAAATACATAGACTTCCTAAGCCAGTCACTGTGTGGCATAAAGTACCTCTGGTAGAATTTTGTAGTCACTTTATGTAGTGTCTTAAACCAGAATGGTTTATACTTTCATAACGAATGGTAGCAGTGAGTAGCTGTGTATCAAAATACAATATGTGGAAATTTTGGAGTTGTAATGCCTTTAACATTTCTAGTCCCCAGTGCTCCACCACAGAATCTAACGCTGGAGGTACGGAATTCCAAGGTAAGACGCTGAGAATTTCCTGTTCGTAACGGGTAAATAAAAGTTTGGTGGGATTGGCCAAATTTTAGAGCTGCTTTGGGTCTTTTTTTCCTACAGTGCTGCTTTTCAGCTATTTGTGTATGAGTTGCCCAACGGGAGAATATCTGTACGTGGGGCTTGGAGCATTAGAAACTCTGGTCCAGTTGTAGATTGTACGTAATGGAACGCAGCGAAGACAGGGACAATGCACCAAAGCCTGGAGGCTAATTCTGAAAGAGGTTTAATCAGGCACAAAAGCCTGAAGCACCAGAGCTTGAATGTGTTCCCGTTGATTAACTGTTGTTTACAGTGTGTGCACACATACACCCATTTATAGTGTCCTGGGCACGTTAAAAGAGAAAATTATATATTTAGTCATTATAACTTTAGGGATTATGATTGGAGATTTTTTTTAAAAGCCTCTTCTAAAACCTCTTTTCCAAATACCACCTTCTGCTGCCTGTATGATTAAAAATAAGTAACTTCATGCACCCAAACTACAGTTCAGATAGCACGTACCCTTTAGTGAAAATACCAGTTCTTAAAGATAGATCCTCAAGTAAACCGTATCTTAAGATAACCTGAAGAAAATGAAGGGGAAACCCAAGGGGCCATTTGTGAAATTGGAATCAGAAGGTCTAATAGGGTTGAAGCGCTTTGAGGTGAACTTCTGTAGGCACATGTATGACGTGGGCTGCTGCTGAATCGCGGGGGTTTTTACTTTTAAATAAAGCCTATGGCGTGCTCTATGAAGATGCAGTATTTGCTGTGTGCATGTTTCTCTGTCTTTTGCTTCACAACGTACTAGCACTAGAGTAGTTAGTTTCTCGGGCTGCGTGGGAGGCGGTGCCCTTGTAACGACCTCCTGCCTTCCGCAGAGCATCATGCTGCACTGGCAGCCGCCTCCGGCAGGGACGCACAGCGGGCAAATCACCGGCTACAAAATTCGCTACCGGAAAGTGTCCCGCAAGAGCGATGTAACGGAGAGCATTGGTGGGACCCAGCTTTTTCAGCTAATCGAAGGTGAGCTATTGGTTGCAAGCCTTTGTTATCAGAAGGGGTTTTTCAGGTGCTTTTGGTGGGCTGAGGCTGAGACACATTTGTTTAGGGTTCTTGCCTTGGAAGAAAAATGGAGAACGCTTAAAATGGGTGTTTGTAGGTTATAAGGTAGCGTGGGCTGGCCAGTGGTAACCAAAGTCTAGCGACCTGTTTTCTAGCCCTAATTTTGCCATCGATTTGCTAAATGGACTGGACGAGTCCTTTTCAAACCTTTATAAAAGGCATAGAGGTTGGATGGAGAAGATGGTCCTGAGCTCATTACGTCAGCCCAGATGCCAGAAATGACTGTATGGAGAGGAGGGATGCCAGAGGGGTGCAGGCTGGTGGGGGGGGGGGGTTGGCAGACTCACCTGTTTGCACATGGATCCAATGTAGGCGTGCTCTGGCTTGCATCACTCACCGACAAGCCCAGCTCAGAGTCCTGTGAACTTCTTACCTCAGGCATCTGTGCAAATCATCCCACCTAGTTTCACTGACATCAACCCTTTTCCTTCTTTCTGTAATATATCCTTTCTTTATTTTGTACGCTTAAAAAATCCAGTCTAGTACATGACTTGGTATAAATTAAATACTGTTATGAGAACTAGAATTTCGTTTAGCAGAAATAAACAGTACATGAGAACAGGAGCAAGACTGCATTTTGCTAATTTTTCAGATATCTGTAAATGAACAGTTGGTCAAAAGAGAAGAAACTGTGCCTCTCTAGAAAATGAACATGCACTTTTTAATAAGATGTTTCGATTTGTTCTCAGAAACTCCGGCTATGACTCAAAGTGAGAAACCATGAGAAAACTGAAACTTTCACAGAGTAGGAGTTGATGTGTGCCTGTAACCAGAGTATGGTTTTGCCAGCAACAAAGCTTGTTTAAGAAGTTCCATATATCAGATTTGGAGTGCAGTTTCATGCTGCTTTGATTCTACACTCTTACATTACACACTCTCACATACGGTAGACAAGTGGTTTGCACAATTTAGTCGCTTGCTGTCTATCTATACTCCACCCTAGGTTTGGTGGTGGACGTGGGAGGTTCTGTGCTTAAAACTAATTAATAGCCAGCAATGAAAGCTGGCTGCAGACGGTGCCTCGCAGTCCCTTCCAGTGGCCCACAGGGACAGTCTGCAGAGTGTCACAGCCCCGGGTGACTCCGGTCAGGGTGTATCGGTGTCAGCTTCCTTACCCCCGCGCCGGGGGTAGTGCTGTTGCCGTTCCTGACCTCGCGTTGGGCTCGGGTGGCAGTGCTGGGGTGAAGGGCTTTTTACTGTCGGGTTCTACCTGTATTTTAATTAGGAACTGTGATTCCTGTGCTCACAGCTGGAAGTCCTGTGTTGATATCTTGGCTACTCTTTGTCTCTTAGGTCTTGAACGAGGTACAGAATACAGCTTCCGAGTAGCTGCCTTGACCGTTAACGGTACTGGACCAGCTACTGACTGGATATCAGCAGAAACGTTTGAGAGTGATCTAGATGGTAAGATCGTAAGTGTGAACGTATTTGTGATGTCAAAGACATTAGAATTTGCAGACAGGGCACAGGAAAGTTTGATGGCCTTTTTTTAAAGGCAAACCTGATTTTGTTCAATTGTTTTTACTGTATTCTAATTATACAATGTGAATTATGACTAAGTGAAATTAATTTCTAACACAAGATTCTTGCCAAGTCAATTAAATGGCTTGAAATTAAACCCTGCTTTTACACTTTCTAGTACTAGTACCTAGTCGGCACTGTTTTTTTCTGTAAGAAATACACAGTTATGAATTACAACGTCAGTGTTTCAATAATTCTATAATAATACATTATAAGATTTATATAATGATGACTTGATTTTTAAATTGTAATAAAATTCATTTTGTTAATTACGCAGGAGTTTACATGCTATGAAACAGAGGTAGGAGGACTGTTTTCCTTGAGGGGAGTAAAATAGTGATTATGTATTTATGTAGTCCCTAAGTTATGCTAATGAAACCATTGAACTATACCTCAAAGAGTTCAGAGCGGTGATTTGATATCCGGAGACACCGTGGGCTGCTTGACCAGACGCAGCCGTGTTGGCTGCCGCCTGTAGCGTTAGTGCCTGCGCTGTGTGTGCAGACTTGGAGTTGTAAACTTTGCTGACCGTGAGAGAGGTGCCACAGTGGGAAAGAAACGGCGGAAGACGTTGTCACCCAGAGACCTTGGCAGTCGTTACTCTCTGTCTCATGGGTACCGTGTTGTCTTAAAAGATTTTTCCCGAATTTTTAATTTTTTGCTTAGACTCTCTTTCTAACAAGAACGTTTGGCACTGGGCCTCTTCTTTTTCCAGCCTAGAGTTTAACAATAAAAGTAGAAATGTTCTGCGAAAAATTGTAACCTTTGATAGGAGGTCCAGATGATTGGTAGTTACTACACTAGAATAATTTGCAAGTGGGAACCTGATTCTTGCAGAATTCAAATGAGCAAATTTGGGAGCATCTCCCAGAATCTGACTCAAAAGCCACTGAAATTGAAGAAGTGCCATTTTAAAAAGGATGGCTGGGGCAGATCTCCGTGGAGCTGCTCATTCTGGGTAGACGGTCACAATTTCAGAAGAGCGTTTAATTAGCGCTGTTGCACGCGAGTTACCTCCTGCCTCTTGCAGGCCAGTCTCCCTCCTGGCTTTGCTCAAGTACCTGGAGGGTCACTCTAGCTTAACGCTGCAGGATCCTGTAATGTCTTTCACGTCTGTGTAGCTTGAGATTCAGTTATACCGGCAGCTGGAAGACAGAATAACAACAGAGCTTCAGTCTTTGCTCTACGCTGTTGGAAGATTGCTTCAACAGTCAGCTGATACAGCCCTGGAGAGCCCCTGCTGCAGCCTCTGGGGTATGCAGAGTTGATGCTCAACTTAATACTTGTCCTCTTACTGCTTGCTCTCCATTGCTTAATCAAGACCAGCACAAAACCCGATGTTAACAGCAGAGTTCGGTTTTGTAGTTATTTAAAATCACTTTTCAGAGTTGAGATGACTTTGATCTGTGTGTCCGTCTTTCCCTAACTGCATATGACACAACCTTGCAGCTCTGAGAAACCACCAGTTCGCCAGAGTGAAGCAGAGCTCTGTAACTGGGCAGCACTTACACAAGGTGATGAAAATGTTCTCTGCTTTTGAATTAGAGTTAACAGGACTTTGCCAGAGGACAGCATCAGGATTAAATTTAAACAGGGCGGAAGGAGGGAGAAGAAAAGAGCCCTTTAATTCTGTGTTGATTCTACAGTTTTAATTTTTTTCAAATTGGAATGTTGCAGTCCTTGCAGGAAATCTAACTTTACGCATAGGCTTTACAAGAAATTAAGTAATAAAAATTCACAGTTAAGACAATGTAACATGGTATTCATATCATTTTGCATACATGTGTATGTGCACACTGGAAAGAAAAACGTGTATTTTTTTTGCTTTCCTTTCTTTAGCAAGCTCATGTGGATAATTTTAATACCATGCAAATGTATTTACAGCTAATCTTTAATTTCTCAGGTTCAGTAGATATGGAAGGCATAATTCCTTTTTATTCCACAGCTTCTTTTTGAATTTAAATGGAAAATAATTCACTTTATAGTGTCATCAATGTAAATTGGAGCCAGACTGTTGCAATTTAGTGTTAGTAGGGCTGTGTAATTTTGCAGAGTTGGTGCAAGTCCCACCAGGAGTGCATATGCAAGAGGTGTTAAACAGTTCTACAAAGTTTATCCCCAGTGCACTAACTTCTGTGCAGTTAAAAATGTCATCTCTTATATTGCAATTCTGTAGTTTTTCTGTATTTAATAGCTGTGAACTTTAATTGATCAGCTGTGTCAGCTGGAGACCATAAATTCCCTGGGCTAGCAGGCCAATGGCATATTATGATCCAAATAATCCTGTTGTGGTGCTTTATTAAATGTTTTTAGATAAATGCAGCATGTTTCATTAAAATGAAATCCCTGCAGGAAGCAGAACTCTCTGAACTGATTTTATTACAGAGCGGGGAACTCAGCTTACCATTGCACAGAATTATTTATAATCTGTCAACATACGGCAGGCTCCTGTGGCCTGACAAAAGGACCTTTTTCATTTTTGAGAGGGTAAAACAAAGGTATGGACACTAGTAGGTACAGTTGTGCTTTAGATTGCTTTTAAATTCTAATCAACGGTGGGCAAAAAAAGCCTTTTAGTAAAATTATTCAGGGGATTACAGTGACATATTATGGAAGTCCTGTTTTTAAGGTTCCACGTTCCATCTCCTCTGTTGGGTTGTGAGGAGATTTGTGTTGCTTGTGAGGGTAGGACTTGAAGGTTTGATATGGACTCTGAGTATTTTTTCATCTGGTGGTATGGTTGTGTAGTCCCTGCATATATTTTGTGATTTATGTTAAAAGAGAACCAACGATTTAAACGGCGGCAAGTGTAGAAGAAGAAGAACTCTTTGAAGCACGTGCAATATCCAGTTTACCGATAATTCTTTGGAATATTCTGTTTAATCCTGCAACGAGCTCAGGAACCTTTCTTTCATCATCAGTGTGTTTTTAATGTAATTATTTTAATGCCCACAAGTAAGTAACGTGATGGAACTAAAAGCAGATTGCTTTGTGGAGGGAGAGGATGTGATAAATGTAATGCATATTTTGAACAATTACAGATTGGAAAGAACATGCACAAATATCAAAAAAGTCTGCCTTGGAGCAGATCTGATACTTTCCTTCAGTTTGACTGTCCTTTCTTTTAAAGAAAAGATCTATTAAAATACATTAGTATACAAAACTGTGTTAATTTTCTTCTGCTTATTCGAGTTCTTTGCTCTCTCTTGTACAATAAGGCTCTCTGCTCATTTCAGTGCAGACACAGAGTACAAGTGCTACATTTGACCTTACTAGCTCACAGCTCTTCATGTAATTACCTTTATTTTAGCAAAATCCTTTACATCCATCATTTTTCTTTGACAGAAACTCGTGTTCCTGAAGTTCCAAGTTCCTTACATGTCCGTCCACTTGTCACCAGTATCGTAGTAAGCTGGACTCCACCTGAAAACCAGAACATCGTGGTGAGAGGCTATGCTATCGGGTACGGCATCGGCAGTCCCCACGCACAGACCATCAAGGTGGACTATAAGCAGAGATACTACACCATTGAAAACTTAGGTAAGGAGAGTGAATTAACATCAGTGCCCAAGTTTTGCCTCTCATTTACGTTACTGTTTTCTAATGATGGTATTATATATAAGTAAAACTACATGCATGTTTCTGTATTTCATTAATATCTTATGCAGATATTGTACCCAATGCTGAACTGTTGATAAATTTCAAATAAACTCAGTTTTCTGATGACAGAGAAAGAGGCAGAGGAGTTAAAAAGACCCCAAACCCAGAATCCTAAATTCACTGAGTTTGAAGCATAGTGTGTTTTGATTTGATTCTCTCCCTTCAGTGCTTAGTACCAAAACTTTCAGGCTGAGCAGCGTTGCCTTATTCTCCTTCTGGAGCCGCAGAAGAAGCGGCTTCAGGCAAAAAAAGAAACTAAACTGTCACCAAGATACAGTGGCATCTACTTAAAAAAAAAAAAAAGAGAGAGAATAGTTCCTCCACAGAATTCTCTAGAATTCTCTGTGGTAGATAAGATATCCTGAAAACAAAGTAAATAAATACTAGTATTGTGAACTGTTGAGAAGTTCCATAAAACTGGAGTTCTGAGTAATATTATGGTAGAGAAAGCAACTTAAAATGTTCATTTTAAAATGTTTTCCCTCACTGCTATTTTGACTGTACTTGAGGTGGATTTGCTGTGACTATAAACTTCTGCTGTATGAGAATTACTGAACGCGAACAGAAGGTCTGTATGGAGACATTTTCAATTCAAATTTAGCCTAGTTATTTAATGTATTTCAGTTAAAAAACCGAACAAAGAAAAAAAGGAGAAGCAGAAAATAAGATTCACTAACAGTTTGCCCTAAAAATATACTTTTTTTCCCCTTTAGACCCAAGCTCCCACTATGTCATAACTCTGAAAGCCTTTAACAACGTTGGCGAAGGAATCCCTCTCTACGAGAGCGCGGTGACCAGGCCTCACTCAGGTAAAGGCGAGGGGCTGCTTTTAAGTTCTGCACAGCTGGAAATTGTTAACACGCCCCTGCACAGCAGCTGAAAATGTGATGATATGTCCTGTGAGAGTGGTGGGTGTTGGTGCCATCAAGTACGCTCCATTTGGTGAACTGATTGGCCTTCCTGTGTCAGTGATTGCCTCGCATGGTTCATCTGTTCCTTAAACCACCTAAAATTGGTTTAATTTTTAAATTACAAAACTTACCTTTCAACTACTTACAGATGTTCTTATTTAAACATACATTATCACAGACTGTGTGGGTGCAGTTCTAAAGGCATGGCCCTTATTTTGTTGTTTTGTGGACAGGTATAGATTTGGGGTTTCTTGGTCTTTGACACTGAGATTTTAAATATGCCGCCTGCATTTTCTTTGTCTAAGTCTCAGTCTGCTGTCACTTAAACTAAACAAGTTCTTGGCATTTTTTTTTTTTTTTGGTCTCGTAACACATTAATAAAAGATTTTAAGCACAGAAATTTGTTTGCAAGCACGCTATTACTGTGCTGTGGTTCACTGTGCTCCCTCCCAGACTGCTGACATTACGTAGTTCCTTTGTGCAGGTGTTAGCACTTCTGTTTGTTCTAGTCTTCAGGAGAGCGGGAATTATGGATTTCATAGAGGTCATTGCTGTTGCAGTTTCTTCAGTTACTGCAAATTTGTATGACACTTGGAACTTGATTGCCATTAATGCTTTTTAAAAAGTGGTGGGAGTTCCCTGTAATTTTTATGAAGTGGCACTGACCCATCTAGAAGTTGTCCAGCTCTTTTTCCTCCTCACTGTTTTCTGGAAGAGGAATCAGTGGACGTTCTGAGGCAAATAGTCAAAGTTACAATTTACTGTATGTTTGGGGTTCTTAGGCCATGGTTGAACGCACTGAACACTAATGTGATTGGGTATATATCTGTGAGCATATATACGTTGTCTTGCTGTCTTAGGAAGGGAACACGATGCAAGAGTAATTTATTAGCCAGTCTTATGTCACCTATTAACTCTGGCTTTTCTCTCTTTTTCTCCATTTCTCACCTTTCATTTCATTGTACTACCCTGCATTTCCCCTTTTTTGTTTTCGTTTACATTAAAATGCCACCTTCTCCCTTTTTAATTATAATACACGACTTTTTACCCATCAATTCCCTAGACACTTCCGAGGTTGATTTGTTTGTTATTAATGCTCCATACACTCCAGTGCCAGATCCGTCTCCCATGATGCCACCGGTGGGAGTTCAGGCTTCCATTCTGAGTCATGACACCATCCGGATCACTTGGGCAGACAACTCTCTGCCAAAGAACCAGAAGATCACAGATGCTCGCTACTACACGGTTCGCTGGAAAACCAATATTCCTGCAAACACGAAGTACAAGGTATTGGAGCTGCAGCACCACTAACACGGCGGCGTTATTTCGGTTGAGAAGTTGTTTCACGTTCAAGTCAGGGCTCGGTGGAAACGGGAGTAAAGACGAGGGCTTAGAAAGCGGTGTAGGGGTGTGCCCAGTCTTGCTTGAGGTGCCTGGACTGAGTTCACATCAGTACCGCTCCATTAAACCATCACTTCAAAGCTTCTCCTCGATTTAGTGGAAGCCGTTGGTTTTGTGGTCTCTCTTGCGGATGTGTGTGGAGGAGATTGAGACGGGGTGTTGCGTGGGCACGACTGGAAGAGCTGGCTTGGGGAAGGCAGGCAAGCGCTCCCAGAATTATGTCCTGCTCTGGAACCATGGGCACGGTGACAGTTTTAGCCTTCCTGCTTCACCCCAACACGATCGCGTTGTGCGGCAGATGTGGGCTTACCTTTAGAGGAGCCAGTAATGCATGCACAAGGTCTGTGTTGCTAATGGCTTCTCTCCAGTTAGCAGAAGAACCTGAATCTGTGGGGTGAGTCATGCAGGGAAAATGTTTACCCCGACAGTTTTAAGTTTCCTTTTACAACCTTTTCTGTTCGTATGAAGTTGATAATACAGACTTTTCCTTTGAGAACCGAATGGGTGCAAAATACATAACGATAACTTCAGGATATCCCTGCCTGCCTTGATTCTCGTCTACTGTTTTGATTTGGAGACTAGATTTGGGGTTTGGTTTATTGGTTTGTATTTTTTTAGTTGGTCAGTTGGATTTTTTTAATTTTCAGTTACCTGGAGGCCTCAGAAATGCTGACTGCAAATTTAACATTGGAAATGAGACTCAAAGGAAACGGTTGTTAAAATATCCTGCTAGTGGAGCTCCCTTTATGCTCTTGCAGAGCAATCTTGTTACAAACCAGATTGTATTTTTTTTATTGAAATGAAAAGATGTATATATGTACGTTCTTCCTCTAAAGGCAAGTAATTTATGGACCCACATTCCTGAGTCATGCGCAGAGGATATCTCAGGAGTGATTTATATAATGCTGCAGTTTCATTAGTTAAATGCTTAAAAAAACCCACCCTCGGTGGTAAATTAAATACTCCCACCATTCTCGGTGCTGGTGGCCAGTGGTCAAGAAGTTTTATTGTGGACCAAAAATAACATGTAATGATGGAATATAGTTCAAAATTATTCACTGTAAAAAGCATTTGCCTATAAGGACATAAGTTTCAGAATGTTTGCTCTAATCATTTTTAACCCATGATGTTTGGAGAACTCGCATCCTCCTTTTCTTTCTTGGTTTCAATCATGAATTCTCTACTACTCTGTTGCACAGCAGAAATTGCTAGTTTTAAGAAAGGCAAAACCTCTTTTCAGCAGCGCTGCTTGATAAGCTGCTGCATTTCAGTCAGGTCTTTGGTAACTTTATTAAGTATGAGCTGGTATGTTGTTTGTCACGGCCATCTCTAGAAGCTTTGTTATTTATTGCATGATCTGAGGCTGTTCACCCAGTTGCATCAGGGCTTCTCCGTTACACAGCCCTGCACACAGAAATTTTATCTTTGTGTCAGTTCTCTAGTATCCAAAGTTAGATCTGTTGAACACAATGTTGTTTCATCCGTCCCTCTCGTCAGTGAATTGGATGTTGATCCAGTTCATTCCTTTTCTACATTTGCTCCCCGCTTCTACGCTGACATTCGCAAACCCTGATTAAAGAAGAGGCTGCATGCTTCAAGTGCAAGTGAAGAGGTTCCACCTTAAGGAGCCTTATTTTCTTAAATTTGTATAGGAGTTGTATCAATCTAGAGAACATAAACACAGGGACAGATGTGATACAGTTCCTGGAGCTAAAAGCCTCCACTGTGCTTTGAACCGTGTAGTTTCACTAATGCGGATCAGAGAGAGTTTTTCAAAGAATCTTTGTTGGTGGAGCAGGGTTGTCCTACTCGCAGGCTACCTGTGATTTATCAGTGTGCTCTCAAGCATAAGCTAAAATATTAAATCTTAACTTAGATCTTTTAGGACTGTATAAAAGGAAAATAAATTTTACCAGGTGATATTTATGAAGTTTATTTCTAGTAGGTGAGCGGGGTTTGGTACCATGGGGTACGTTGTGATCTTACTGGTGTTAAAAAATGAAGAAAGCAGAGAAATCTAACACTCCAGTTTAGCCTTTCATGTGTCGTTTACCTTCAATATGGTGTGCCGTGAAACTAAAAGAACGCCAAGTTTCAAAGCCAGAGATGAAAAATACAGCGTTGACCTGTGAAAAGGACTCCAGCTGCGACGTATGACTGCAGCTAGGCGCTAAAAGTATTAGAAACAGCTCCGACTGCGTAAATGCTGTTAGGAATTTCCGTAGGTATTCTGGAGAGGCAGAAATGCTGTGCTTCTCGGGGTGAGTCAGCTCGTGATGCAGGATGCTAGGAAAAGATTTCTCCTTTGGACTTGTCGTTGCATAATTGTCCTGGCCAAAAGTCCCCCCTCGCCAGGGAGCTCGTGCTCAGCCCAGCTGTGTCACCGAACTCTCCACCTCGCTGTTCGAGCCGGGCAGCCACCAGCACATTTACTTTGCAACTACCCCGAGTTTGTATCGAGTGAAGGTTTGAAGTTAATGGAGGTTTTTATTCTAATTAATTTTATGCTGTCTTTGTTGTCCATCCACCCCTGTGATGTCTAACTGGCAAAACACATACCTGTGAACAAGCAACATACTTCCTACAAATCTCAGTATCGCTTGGCTAACAGCTTCACCTGGTGTAAGAAAAAAAGCTGCCACTGATACTTGAGAAACGAGGGTCTTCTTTGCAGAATTTGGACTATATTATCATCTATAAACATGCCTTTTCCTTGAAAATTGATTAGTAGTTGTATACAGTTGTTGTATGGCCCCGTCAAGCACTGAAACAACTTGTTCTATGTTTAGATCGCTGTAGGCTAAGGTAAGGAATATACTTACATGTAGATACATACTTCTTTGTTTTCATAGGTCTCAAGTACATTCTGTTCATGTTCAGGTCATGTAACAAATATCAGATATTTTAACCAAAAGGTCAAAAATTCTAGGTGTATGGCTGAGTTACAAATTTCACTATAAATCATGTGTAGGTTCAGTGTGCAATCCTAGGTAACCATTTTTTCTGAAAAGAATCTGCGTATTAGTAAAGCTTCATTATCTTCAAGTTTCAGCACCTGTACCTTCAGCTGATTTTTTTTTTTTTTTTTTTTTTTTTTGGATGTTAAAAATTTACTGAAAATTCTAACAGGAGTTTGGAAGGCAGATAGAGATTTCAAGGACTGTTACGGTTAGCTGTGCTTCATTTTTTTCCCTAGCCAGATCAGTTAATGAAATGCCGTAAATTAAACCTCCCAAGTAGACAGTGATTTAGCTAGCCTGCTGCATAACAAGTGTGCCCTGGACCTTCTAGTGCTTTTTTAAAAAAAAAAAAACAAAACAAAAAAAAAAAAAACGACAACCAAAAAACATTTATAATTGACTGCTATTAAATACTCTTGCTGATTGCAGAATGAATTTCTAGTTTAGGATAAAACAACTGCATGTTAATACTTGATTAATGAATTTGCATGACAGAGCAAAAACGTTACAGAATTAATGACTGTGGTTACGAAAACGTAGCGATGCTATAATGTTTTAAACACTTACCTGAGACAAGGGTGTTGGAGAGCTGGTGATGGATGGTTTTCAGTTCAGAAGTTACTGACTCTTTGTTTTTCTTTCAGACTGCAAATGCGACCACTTTGAGCTATTTAGTGACTGGGTTAAAACCAAACACCTTGTATGAATTCTCGGTGATGGTGACCAAAGGTCGAAGATCAAGTACTTGGAGTATGACAGCACATGGAACAACTTTTGAATTAGGTAATCCTTCGTGTCTTTCTGGAAGGGCCGACGTTCCTGATGAGATGAATAAAGTTGAGCCTGCCAGAATTCTGGAGGAGAGAAAGCATGTATTTAAAATTATTATGCTGATGAATACTTGCTGGGGGGTTCTTTTCTTTATAGTTTAGTCAGAAATTCTGATTAAAAAACAACAACATACTTCAAAATTCAAAGGGATGATTGCATGCAAAAGAATTTACATCAAATTACAGAGAAGTAATGAATAATGTACCACAGTTCACGGACAGGAGAGAATAAAGAAGCGTATGCTTGAAGCATCTCAGAAAGAGCACGTTAATAGCAAATACAAAGAAGATACTTTAGCAAATAATAATTAAAATTTGCTGTAATTATGATGATAATTATCAGAGCGAGGAAGTGCATGAAGCGAATGAATTTAAAAAAATCCTTGCAGAAATTGAGACATCCAAATCAGCCCTAAATTCTTGTTCTTCCCCAGGAGCTGCCAGTTGCTTGGTGCTGTAGAAATGAGGCACTCTCAAAGTACAGAACAGGACAGGGCTTGGAGCTGCCAGGAGGAACTTGGGCCCACTGAGTAACTGTGAGGTCCAGAGCCTCTCTCTCCCCAGACCTGTCCATCATTAGTTTTTTTTTTATCCTGCAGTGATAAATGATCTTTGTGCAATTAAATTTACTGCTGCTTCTGCTTAGGTTTCTCTTCATATCAGCTGTAAGGACAAAAAAGAGCTTATCCAAATTACCCTGTAGTTCTCGTGCTAAATTAAAACACAGCAAAAAAAAATCCAGCGTACAAAGAATTAGTGAGATCATCCAAATACTCTATAACAAGGCAAAGGAAAAAGGAAAACGAGGATAAAATCAGGAACCTCCTAACTTACTCTGAAGTCCCATAAACCTTTAGTGAGCTGCAGTTGCTTTTGAGAACATTGTCTTAGTTTTGGGTGGGAATTCCATGATGTGGAGCCAGCTACTGTTCTGACAGCACAGGTCTGGACTGAGCCCCCTTTCCCATTCCAGTTACTATGCCCATCCCACCTCCAAACGCTTTATTTGGTATTTTTGTTGACACGCATACAATTCTTCTCCATAACTCTACACTCTTATCAGGGACTGTAAAAGTTTCACAAGTAAATTACTTAAAAGAAAATTTGAAACCCAAAAAAGCATAGGAGCGAGGGTGAGATAGAGAAGGTCTCATTTCATTTAAATAGAAAGTCAACTTCTAGTTGGAGTGGTTGTAAAGAATATTTGCAAATATGACCTAAAAGCTTGAGAACTAAGAAGCAAATGAAACAAAACAAAACAAAAAAAAACACAAAACAAAAAAAAGGCTAAATATATTTTCTCATAACAGAACTTGTGATTTATATTACTCGCCAAATTCCTGAGCGTGTGACTCATTATTTTTGAATACTCTTGAGTAGCAGTGTTGTATAGGACTTAATCCTCAGCTAATGCTGAAGAAAAATACGGGATACTGGGTTCAGTGTTGGTCAGTGAATTAGTGATCTCCTGTGGGCTAGTCCTGATTTTTTTTTTTTTTTCTCTGAAGCTTACTGTAGGGCTTTGAATTGTGCTTGACGTCTATACGTTTCTGTTGAGCATGGTTTTAAGTATTTGGGATACTAGTTACAGTAACTTTTGAGCTTTTGCTATCCCTGGTTATTCTGCAGAGGCATAGGAGGTAAGCTGTCTCAGAGGATGGACAGATTCATTTCTAATAGGTGATATACATAAAGCTCTTTAAATGCAGAAAGCACTGCGTAAGCACTAAATGTTACTATTATAGTATTAAATATCCAAGGCGGATTTACTTTGCTAAAAATTACCTAATTAGAAGTCTCATGTTTTTCATAATGTGGCATTGCAAACTGTGGCTGGTTAATGCACCTTTGGAGACATTGGCTCTGTGCATTTGAAAGCCATTAATCTAAGCCCCAGCTGGATATTTTAGTTCACAGTGAGAAGGGTCTCGGATTTCAGCCTTTTGCTGGAGCAACTTGTGCCATTTCCTGAACTTTAGGCAGGAGGAGGCTGATGGGAGAGGGAAGTGCTCTCCCCGTCTCACTCAATCTTACTCTCTGGCAACCCAGGGAGAAAGGTTGCACAATTGTGTTCAGCAAATATTTCTTGATTTCAGATGCTTCTGTGATGCAGATTTCCCTGCAAGTCACAAATAAATCTTCACTAAAGTAAATCAGCAATTACGGATTATAATTTTAAAACTCTTGTGAATTCACTTTGCTGATTGAGATTTGAGTGGCAAAACGGCATTCCTAGGCCTTGGTCCCACCATAAACCTGAAAATACGGAGAAATTTCATACGCCTGGGTGTATAAAACTTATTTATTTCCCAAGTTCGTGTAACTTTTAATGATGACCAAAGAAATTCGGGTCAGAAGTCATTGACCCCAGCTGTTAGAGCTGTACAAAGATGCCATGCTTCTGAAGCCCTGGGAGCTCGCTCAGTCATGAATCACAGCATCTGCTGGCAGAAGCGCTTGAGAAACAGGTAACTCCTTACGGGAAGGGGATGCTGCACGCCAGATGGTATTTGCCAGTTGACTGGAGTAAGTCAGTAATGCCACTACACCAGGGCGGCAGATTTATTTGAAGGTCGAACGTTGAGAGTTTTTATCGTCGTACGTGCCTTTTTACAGTGGTAAAAGAAATAAAAAGTGAAGGTGCTGAGGTTACTTGATTGTATCCAGCGAAACTGGGCAAGCTGTTTCTGAGAGTCTGGTTTTTGTTTGTTTGCAGTTCCTACTTCTCCTCCCAAAGACGTGACTGTGGTGAGCAAAGAGGGAAAACCTCGGACAATAATTGTTAACTGGCAGCCTCCATCCGAAGCCAATGGCAAAATTACAGGTGCAGTTTGCATAAGCAATAAAGATATAAGATGCCTGGTTAACAGCAAAATGTAATCTGCGTAACTATGTGAACGTGTTCCCTACTTGCTTTAGCCTAGAGCTAGCCAAGAGGACTGTATCTTCTTTGTCAATCTATCTTGTAGCTCAGATTAATTATTTACTTCTGTACCTAGTAAAAATATATTAAGATCTGAACTAACTGCAGTGTGAAATTGGAGTCTAACCAGAAATATAATTGAGAGTTTAAGTATCTCAATAACCTCTGCCTTCATCAGCTTGTGCTATTCTAATAGCATGCCTCCAGAAATGCGTCTATAATGCCTCTGGCTCATCAGTATTTTATTTAGAAGAGTCCATCCCAGTGCTCTTTGTCATCTTTGTGTCATTTTTGTGGCACGGAGCACACTTCAAGTCAGTTTATTAGTCCCCTGACATAACCATTAGGAGTAAACTGTTATTTGCCTTTGTAACTGCCTCACTTCCACGTAGGATAAAACATTTTACGGAAGGTAATAATTACTGTTTCCCTTCTGTAATTTCTGTTTGGATTTCCATTTCTAAGGACTTTCTGAAATAATTCACTTCAGTTTTCCTTTTTTTACCCCAAGCTTTAAGCTTAAAGCGGATTTTATTGGCATACAGTTCGCAGCGTATGATTTTGCTTCTGTTCTCAGAACCAACCGTGGTGCAGAATCAAACCTTTGAAACCTGTCCCCGGCCGGCAGCTGATGAGGCAGTACTGTCGCGCAGGTTCTAGACGGGAGACTAAAACTAAAGGCAGAATACTGGAGACTCTTAACCTTGAGTAACGACAGTAAACCTTGTAAGCAAGCTGGAAGGAAGGCCCCCAAAAGGCGGAGGGGCGCTCGCCCGCCGGCTGCGCTGAGGCGGCCTGGCTGCAGCAGGCCTGTCCCGCTGGTGTCAGGGCCAGGAGAAGGGGGCAGGAGGGGTTGTGCCCCGCAGCCCTGCGCCGCTCTGCGGCACGGTGGGGTGCCCAGCCCGGCTCGTTTTTATATTGGTTATAAAGCCAGTTCTGTGTTACTTTATTTTACCAGCGAGATGCTTCCTCTGTATGGGAAAGGAGGTTTGACTGGACAAACGGGAGCCTTTATCTTACCTGCGGGTTAAAGGACTTGGTTGCTTGTGAGTGAGGGTCGTTCAGACAGGTGTGAAACGTCAGGCGCAAATATTCCCAGGTCATCTGTGGTCCTAAAAAGATAAGCCAGTCATCTTACATCGAGCGCGAGACAATGTGCAAAGAGATCAGCACTTACTTGCACAAGGTGGTTAGGAAAATTGTCCCACACGTTCAGTTTTACAGGTAAAAAAATCTTCTTGCAGTGTCCGTACTGTGAAGGAGAACCTTACCTTTATTCATACATGTTGAATGAAAACGTATAGTATTTATTAGTTTTTGCATTAGCTGCATTTAACAGCTAAAAAATAAAATTAAAAAAATCATTCGGTGGTAAGCCTGAGGGCACCAGACCTGAGTTTCCATTTGCCAGGGGAGCAGGACGTGGGCTGAGTGCCCTCTGGTGGGAAGAGCCACCGCCAGCGGGAGAAGCCGCTTCCAGCTCCAGGAATCGCCCGTGAGCTCAGCGCGGGTCATTCTGCGCATTAAGTACAAACTAAGGGATGATGTCATTCCGTGCACTGGGTACCATGTCTGTGGGATACTCGCCTTTTCAGCTCGGATCTCCTTTTGATGTGGGTAGGATGGATGTGCAGTACTGACTGTGCTAGTCTGGATTCCGGATGTTTGTGCCTCATTGTAGTTGCTGACTAATTAGTACAGTCGTAAGTTAACTCAGTAGCCTTGTGCCACTATACTATATATACTGCTTTTCACTGTCACTATATATCCATACATGTGGACCCTTCTCAGACTGTAGATATGTTGCTTGGTGACCTAGCAACTTATTAAATCTACTCCCCAGCAGTTATCTGTGCCATCAAGGGGAGAAATTCAGCATGCCAGACCTACAGCTGGCGTTTGAAGCGTCACCCTCCAGGCCATCCTGGTCACTGTGAATTATGTGGATTTGGGGTATCAGCAAGATTTTCAAAGGGAAAATAATAAACTAAACTACCGAACACATGTTCTTTAGCTGTGTATGAGAATGTTTTGTTTTAATGTTAACTATTTTCTGTAAATATTAATACTTTGAGGACGTTTTGATAACAGCTTTATGTTATTTTACATTATTTGGTCTATGAACAGGTAAAGAGATGGAAATGAGGGATTTCTCCATATTCAGTGAACAGTGGTCGAAAATAATTACGATATTTTAAGTGGCTTTTTTCCTCTTAACGTATGCTTTTGAACAGTTTAAAAATTTAAGATGGGAAGGCTGTCCAATATATTAATGCATTCTTAGTCTTTGAAAAAATAAGAATACCCTTTCAGAAAACCCACAATCATTTAGCTGTGCAAATATCATTAAAAGTCAATAGAACATTTCCTGTGAAATCTTACGGCTATCCTGTTGTTTTATGTATAGAGTTCTTTTGTTTTTTTCCTTTGAATAGGGTACATCATTTACTACAGTACGGATGTGAATGCTGAAATACATGACTGGGTTATTGAACCCGTCGTGGGAAACAGACTGACCCATCAGATACAAGAATTGACCCTTGATACGCCGTATTATTTCAAAATTCAGGCCCGCAACTCGAAGGGCATGGGGCCTATGTCCGAGGCAGTTCAGTTCAGAACCCCAAAAGGTAAATCCGCATGTATATCTAAGTATCTTCCTCCTCGCTTTCTGAATGCAGCCTCTAGAAGGATAAGATACCAGTAGCATGAATTTCATATTTAGACTGGAAAAGACGGGAAGACAGTGGAGTTTGACCAGAGTGAAGTTTTCTATCGGGTTGCTCTTGGGTGTAGTTAATACACATGCAAATGTTGCTCAGCTGTGTGATTAATTGTGTTGTTTCAGAATTACCGTTGGGTACTTAGGTCATGTAGATATTAATGCTGAGGGTCAATGTCCTAAATGTGCTTTTTTAGAAAACCAGTTTTCAGTAGCTTCAAGATTGTAGGTCTTGTGTGTCACGTCAGCTCATGATGAAAAAGCAGCAGGCTCTGGAGCTGGTGGCCAGCGGCACAGCTGCTCGCTGGTGACTTGGATGATATAATGGGAACGAGTGTGACACAACAGGCGCCTCGACCGAGAACTGCTGGGTAATGGGGAACTAGTGAAGTAGTACAGACGCTTGATAGCTTGGGGAAAAAGTTCTCGAAGGAAAGGTGAAAAATAAAGTTAGGAATAGATCTTTTAACAGTACTTTTTTCCGTCTGAGTATTGGTGGTTAGAAATGAGGGCTCAAGCTAGTCTACTTATGCTATGTGAAACTTTGAAGTCTGCCTCTCACTCCTTCAAGCCTTGTGATCTTTCTCTTGTTTTTTCCTTCCCTGTGCTTGTCCCACTAGCCGAATCCTCAGATAAAATGCCTAACGATCAAGGTAAATGAATAGCCACACTTTCTCTTTCATTCCATCCCCCACATGTTTTGTTTTTCCTGTCCATGTGCTGTTGCATTTCCTAAATGAAATGACTATCTGCTGCTCTAACTGTAAATGAGCAAGCTCCTGTTGTGCTTTTAATAGTGGAAGAACTGGAAGTCCTATTTGTGGTTTGGGTGTTAGAAATAGAAAGTGATCTCTGTAGTCAGATGTCACATGCAGGGACAAGCAGGTTGTGCCTGCCAGGGCTGAATCATTCTGTCAAAATGAATTTGGATTAAGTGATTCTCCAGCCAGCCTCTGACCACTGATGCAAGATCTCAGTATGTAGAGGTGGAAGATCAAACAGTTATCTAATTAGCACGAGTGCTGTTTTGTGAGCTCGACGTCTCTAATTATTTTCGTAATAAAGGAAAGTATGCCTGCTCTAGAAAGCTTTTTTTGCAAGAGAGATTCTGCTTGTCAGCTCATTTAGACCCCAGGCTCTCCTGAAGAGCACAGCATTAGCTACTAAAAGCCTTAAGGTTTTAGAACGCTAGCTTGAAAAATGGTAGCTTTGAGTTCACTACATTGAATTATAAGGTGAGTGTCCCGGGGCTATTTTTGCTTTCTTCCAAATAACCTACAAGCCCAATAAAAAGGAGAAGAATTAGTCGAAAGGACATTGGCAAGCATCTTAGACATACAATTAAATAGATCCTAAAGGGATTGAGAATGAGCTTTTTTTTAACTTGCTTTTCAACTTGTTACTTAGAAGTAATTCATTAAATATGCTCTTGCCTTCTGTGTACCAAATAATGCTGATATTAGACAGTTGCGGAGTAAATTCATATCCAAACTTGTGTGACAGAGATGCTAGCTGAGATTCAGGCCTGTCTGCGGTGAAGCAGATGCTCACTGTGCAACCATTAGTGCTCAATGCAAGTGGGAGGGAAAAGGGGAAGATTAAAAGGTTTTATGTAAAAGTTGCTGTTTTCTGTTCTGCACTATTCTGACCTCTTAGCAGCAGATAACTAAATCTTCTCATCTGTCATTACCATCCTAAAGTAACATAATCTTCTAGTGACAATTTGATTAATTTCTAGCAAATAATATAACTTACAAATCATAAAACCCTACGTTAAAGGGAAGATAGTTTTGTTTCAGAATTCCTATGAGAACACACTGAGGTTATAAATCATGGCAGGAGGTCAAAAGTAGGAAAGGAGAAGACGAGCTGAAGAGTAGAAAAGCCCGCCCTGACCTGCAGAATTGTGTCTTTCAGGAAGTAGTAGGCAAGTTATTCGAGACTGGGAAGGAACAAAACTGCAATGGGATTGACTCTCTGGCCCTAGTGGTTCTGTCTTTTTTTCTCACCCCTACTTCAGTGTTTCTCTTCTGTACTAAGCACACTGTATTGTTCTTCCACACACTTCTATAGCACAGAGCTTGTGTTAGGAGAAGTTAGCGGCTGTTGCTGTCAGGCTTCAGAGAGTTGCTCTGGCCTACTACAGAAGCAAAGGCTAAGGTATCTAATAATCCTGGTAACAGTACCCTAAAGTAACACAAAGCTAAAATAGGCTGCCTGGCTGTGGATACCTACTGGGAATATGGGGATTGATGAGCTTAAAAAACAAAACAAAACAAACAAACAACAACAAAACCCCCACCCAAAAAACTATTTCAAGTAAATGTTATCCTGGACTGTTCCTTACTATAGAAGGAAATGGAAAACCTCAACAACAAACTTTGTCAGATGCTGGAAGAAAGGCTGATGCCTGTGCAGAAGACGCAGCTTGTGCACGTGGCTGATCAGAGCGTATGGTGTAGAAGCAAGGCTTGTGCTCCCTGTCGTGGGGGGACAGGCTGCCCCCCGGAGGCAGTGGGGTACAGTCCTTACGCCCGCGGAGACTGCAGGGAAGAGTCAGGTCGTCCTTCAGGTTGCGCTGCGTGAGAGGTGAGCTCTCCAGAATTCAAAGGGTTTGATCCCTGGTTTCAGGAATTAGATACTGAGAAGCATCTTGGTTAGGTACCTACAGCTGATCGTATTTTGAAACTCGGACTTCGTAGCTCGTCGTTAGCTCTGTGTTTTTGGCAATGTGCAGGCGCTGACACGGCGCAGTCAGGGCCGGTATCGGGCGTCCCTGAGCCGCCCCGCCCGGCGAGGGTGGCGCGCAGGTAGTTACTCCCAAACATGACTGCTTTCTCCTTATCCCCGCCTTCCGGTGGTTTTATCATCTGGATACGATTTATGCCCTTTGTCACGTACACGCATGAGGGGTATATAAAACCTGGAGCTGGCTGTGAGGGTACGCGTTGTTCGGGGCCTGCAGACCCCACGATGAGCCGCACCAGCTCGGCGCGTTACACCCACAGGTGCCACATGGTCCCTGTTGGTCTGTGCAGGTGACTTTGTATATCTTATTATCTACTCTATTATTTTATGTCATCTGTTAACTTCAGTAGCAATTATTTTAATTTTCTTTCACGGTGTTATTAAGGATATTGAATTACACTTGGCCAAGTACAGGTCTGTGCAGAACTCATTAGAAATACCCCTTGTGAATAATGATTCTGCAATTATCATTCTTATTCTTATCAGTTAATTAGTTGTTAATCTTGTTGATATGTGCCACATTGCTTTTTTATTATGCTCATCTTAAGAAAGCGTTGTACGGCACTCAGTAAAATGTTTTATGGAAGTCTAAATATAGTATGTCTGCATAGTTACTGTTACCAACCGAATTTATAGTCTGACATTCAGTTTGTTTGAAAATACCTGTTTTCGATAACACAGAAAGATGGGCATGAAGTATGCCGCCATCTCTTAGCTGTCTGTCACCTTTTCCATGCTCTTGCCTATGGTAAGGCCCCAGCTGCTGCACTAAAAACGCACAGGGTGTCTATTTGTACTTTTAAAGTATTGTCAGTTATTTTTATTCCCCCCTTCTCCTGCAGCTTCTCCGGTGCTCCAACATATCTTCAGCGCCAGGTTCAGTAATTCAGAGAGTTCATCCAAGGGTTTTTTTCATGTCTTTTCAGTGGAGCTCTCTGGTCACACAGTTGTCAATATATTAAATACAAGCCCTTTGAAATTCTGTTAAATTACTTCATTGCTGCTGCAAAATGATTAGTCCAGTACATCAAAAGAGAACGCATTTGCACTGAATGCAGTGTCCGCTCTAGACTGGCAGGTGCAATATGTCTTTCTCACTATGGATTTGTCCTGCCATATGTCTTTTCCGTTATTGTAGACTACGTCTGACTCCTCGCTGTGGACATGTAACGTTCCTTCTTCTCCTTCTCAGGGCTTAATCAGTATTCCTGCTGGTACCTTTTGCAGGTTTTACTAAGTGTCTTTATTTCAAAGTGACTAATTTACAGGCTTTGATGTTAGGTTCACAATTTCCATTTCTTACACATCCTTTAACACTTAGTACCTCTTGATTAGAGCAGTTTTTTAACTGAGAAAATCCTTCTCCTGATTGTGGAACTGCTGAATTTGCAGACTTTTGGGGTTTTGTGGTTTGGGCTTTTTGTGCACAACAGTGTGAAAATGTGCAAAATATTAGGGATTCCCATAACCAGAAGAGTGTTGTTCTTTGCATCTTGCTCTATGTTTCCCCTACTACAGTATTTTTATCGTCCGTGGTAATTTTGCATTAGTGCATTTTAATGAAAACACAGAATTGAAAGAACCGGGGTTTTGGATATCTTTATCTGCAGGAAGCATTCTGCTAACTCAGGAGAGGTCTTAACATTAGAAGTGAACTTGTGACTTTATGCGTCTTGCTGTGGCAGCAAGTGATCTAAATTAGACCTGAATTATGCAAGGGGAAGTACTTGTTAGAGTAAAAAGAGGACAGCATTTCAGTTGGTAGGCCAGCTCTTGCAGTTAGCACCTAGGAGCCCACCTGCAGCAGCTGAGGTTCAGGAGGGGCTGGGTAATTTGCCTCGGGTTATAATAACTGAGGTACAGGTATGTTTTACTTCTCTTGTCAGCCTGTAAACGTAAAGCTTGGAAACTAATTAATTTGTTTTCCCAGGTTTCACCAAAAAAAAAAATTTTGTGATACTTCATTGTCACTTGTGGCGAAGGTGAAAAGAACAGGGAGAAGTTGAAAGCAAGTTTTTATGGATAGGCAGGGACTTAATATTATGGTTACTGTGATTTTGATCCTCCAGAGTCTTCCATGCTTACTGTAATAAGGTATTAGGAAAAGAAACCTGTATAATTACTGTTCCAAGATGATTACGTGTCTGTACAAGTGTGGCAAAGCCATTTGCTTCAATATATACCTGTGTATTACTGCAAATAATTTTTACTATGTTTGTAAAAATGAATACTAGTAGAGGCTCCTATGCTTACTTGGCAAAACAGTAATGCAGGAAACAAATTACTAAATAGCTCTTTTGCAGAAGCGGTTCTCTTCTTGGAGAAACACAGCTGCTGGCCAAAGCTAAATCATGTTGTACGGGAGAGAAAAGGAGGGGAAAGAAATGCTCACAGTGGTTCAGAGAAGTTCTGAAAGAGCTAACTTACAAGTGCTTGCGTGCGTGTTTCTGTGTACGTGTGGGTGTGTATGTATGTATATAAAATTACCACATATACCACCTTTTCAGCTTCAGGATCTGCGGGGAAAGGAAGCCGCCCAGTGGACATAGGGCCAGATTACAAACCACCGCTCGGCGGTAAGTGTTGCTATCAAGCTTTTCCATTTAAAGGCAGTGTCTTTTGGTGTTTCAGCAAGTGATGCTATATCCTACTGAAAATACTGATTACATCTGTTCCAGTGACTTTTTCTCTATGATGATAGCTGTTCCCACTCAAGAAATTGTATCATACTTCTGTCATCATGTTCTTGCCTGCTGTGTGGGGTATATGGAAAAAACATCATCGCATGCATTTACATTTCAGTCTTGATAAGCAGATTTCGTTCCCAGTCTAGTTTTAAATGGCTGCTATAGTGCACAAGTGTAAAATTAATTCAGGAAGAACATATTAGGAGGAAAAAATACCATCTTAACTCCTTCTCTTTATTAGCACTGTGCATTGCGGAAGCCTTGCCCTAAGGTAACACTCATTAGTGTTACAGAAAATGTGTTTCTTTCAGAGGAGAGTGACCACGGTAGAATACTGATACCGATTCGCGTGATTATTGGGTCTGAGGGGATGCCTGTTGTGCTGTAGCTTTAGCAAGGTCCCAGGTTAACTTGCCTTGGACTCTAAACGATTGAATTTTTTAATGGTAGCTCTTTGAGTAGGGTGAGCATAAATTTTTATAGACTGTTAGTTGGAAATGGATCTACCAAACATCTTCTAGATTTAACAATTGTACAAAACCACAGTTGGCAAATGACAAAAAAATAAGCAAGCCCTTCACTTGCAATCCGAGCAGACAAACCATCTTCCTCATTCTGCTAATGCCTGTGATTCTAGAAGTCCTTGATGGGCACTGCTTGCTTTCGATGGGGAATTTTCCTGTGTAATAAATAACAGCTTTCTCTCATCTCAAACTCTTTCAGGCAGTAACAGCCCCCACGGAAGTCCTACTTCTCCCTTGGACAGCAACATGCTCCTTGTAATCATCGTGTCTGTTGGTGTGATCACCATTGTGATCGTGGTGATAGTCGCTGTCTTCTGCACCCGTCGTACAACTTCTCACCAAAAAAAGTAAGATGTCTGGGTGGCACTTTGCCCTGTCCTACCTTTCTCACCCAGTTCTCTTACTTAATCTTTTCTTTATGCTGCTTTAGGATTTATTGCTTTTATGTCTTGGGGGCTGTAGAAATTCTGTTCTGACAACAGATCGGTAATGCGTTTGAATTCTTGTGTTCAGAAGACGACGTGCATCGATGTAGCTAAGTTATCGTGCACGTGGTGATGATGATGTTCTGTTTTACCTAATCCGTGTTTCAGAGTTTACAAACCATCAAGAGTTTATGGGCAAACTGGGGCACTGCTTTCATGTATACCTACACTCTCCCTGAGGAGAAATTATTTAAAGTACTGTTTCCAAACTCCAGCCAATACATCTGTTTAGAGCTGTGAGAGCTCAGCAGTTCAGGCAGATTCTCACTTCTGTTCTCAGCATGTGGCTTCACTGTGTGGCATAGGTTTATAAGCTGTTGTGTGATAATACCCAATTTGTAGATAGATCACTGGAGTGGAATCTGAATCTGGTGCTGGACTCCTTAGAAAAGTGCTCCAAAATCCTAAATATAGGTGTGCATCTGAATTCTTCCCTCACTTAGAGCATCTGAATGAAGACTACAGCAGCAATGCTTCTGTTTAGAGGCTCCTGAAGGTTGTTTCTTCATGTTCTTTGAAAGAACTGAAAGCCTTTGTTTAAGTTTGAAAAGACTCCGTTAATGCAAAATAGAGTTTTCAGTGATTAAAAGCCAAGCTTAGAAGCTAATCTCCACTTCCTTTGCGGAAGCTGAACCATCCTACAGAAATGCAAGTTCTGCAGGAGAGGGGAGCCAGGATATATGAGCGATGGTCTGGCTGCTGGAGGATATGCTTGGGAAAGGGCAAAATTCATGGGCCTGTGCCCAGGAGACGTATTTTATTTTGAAAGAGCAGAAATAACCCTGTGACATCTTGCTTTTGTTTTCCTAGTTTCTAAATGCCACCTCTCTTGCATGCAGCAGCCCCCAACCTTCTGATCCGTTTTACTCGTTCCGCTGCGGTGCTCAAAGCAGGGTGCCGGGAGCACGTCTGGCTGCAAGTCACCTACACGAGAGGCTCCGTTCATTAATATTTTCAAAATTGTATTCAGCCATATCTTAGCCGTTTCTAGGATGTGTGCTACTGAGGAGGGACACCTTCCTCCATCATTGTCAGGGCCCAAAGCGAGGAGTGTGGGTGGAGGGCAGTGCTCGAAGTCTACATTTTACTTTTCCAAAAATCCGTCATGTCAGATGTCTGCCTCACGATCAGGTTGCTGCCGCTGTTATTCAACAGCGATGAAAAAGCACATCAGTTAGAGGTGTCTAACCTGAGCGGTGGTGAAATGAATATTCTTGTCATTAATCTTTAGAGCTAACCATCCTATTGGGATAATTGGCTATTTGCACATTCCTTCTACAGCTGTTGTTTGAGGTTGTTTGTAAGCCCTGGAGTACGGGCACAGCATGATGTACGTACGCTTCGTGTTTAGAATATTCTCTTAATAACCGTAAGTACTGGAAACTTAATTTTTGTTAATGAAAGCTCAGACTGTAGAGCACAGTTCTGCAGCATGTGGTAGCATTTGAGACAAATTTCATGGCATCAGAGTTGCAGAATATGCTTGGAGATGTCAGATGTGCTTATATGTAAAATTCAAAGCTTCCTGCCCAGTGGGTAGTTTTTGCTCAGCTGGATACAAGATCTGAAGGAAATCTCAGTGAAAATTTGCCTTTTTCAACAAGTGAAAGGAAGCCCACATCTAAGAACATCTCATTTGCTTTCCTTCCCAAGGAAAAGAGCTGCCTGCAAATCAGTGAATGGGTCCCATAAGTACAAAGGAAACTCCAAAGATGTCAAGCCTCCTGACCTTTGGATCCATCATGAAAGACTGGAGCTAAAACCCATTGATAAATCTCCAGATCCCAATCCAATCATGACAGATACCCCAATCCCTCGCAACTCCCAAGACATCACCCCAGTTGATAATTCCATGGACAGCAATATCCATCAAAGGCGGAACTCCTACAGAGGTGAGCTGTCAACGAGTATTTGGGCCCTGATGTTTAAAATTAAGTACGTTTTACTGTATCTGGTGAAATCACTTTACTGACCTATTATTCAGTTACCCTTATGTCTTTTTGCTGTTCTTTTCCAAGTAGTGAGTTGGTATTGTGCCTAGTTTATAAGACTGAAAAGGGTGGATCACATGTTGTAGTGAGAAAATGGAGTGCCCCAGAGTTAAATCATGAACTTCCCTTGGTCAATACTGATTAGGAATCAGAAGATTATCTAACAAGTGTTTCATATTAAACTGCTGAGAGACGTGTGTGACGTTCTTTCAGCAGTCACACACACAAAATCAGGTTTTGGTGCTTTAACCAGCTACTGCTCACCTCTTGAGGTGTGGGTGAGTTTTCACCCGGTGAGTGGTTAACTTGGTAATCCAGCATGCCTCACCCATAGGTGTGACTGTGCTGCCACTCACTGCCCAGAGCTGCACTGCCAAGGGTTTGTGTTTGCGTTATGGCCTGGAGAATTTCTCCAGTTCGCAGTAATCTTTACCCTAACTGTCCTCTTTTCCCCCTTCTAGTGAAGGTTGAGAGAGCTGTTTTTATCAATTATGAGTCACAGAACTGCTTGCAAACAGGACAGCCCAGAAATAGCGAAGGATTGAAATAGTCTGTATCACAGAAGTCTCGTCTTGCTGCAGTGGTAAATAACCTTCACCGGTTTTCTTTCAGGGCATGAGTCAGAGGATAGCATGTCCACACTGGCAGGAAGAAGGGGGATGAGGCCCAAGATGATGATGCCTTTTGATTCTCAACCACCTCAGCGTAAGTCAACAGCCCACCTACCAGCTGGCTTGAAATTGGGAGCACCCAAACAAGCCGTGCTGATACTGTATGCACAGGCACACACCCCCACATACTGCTTTCCTCCTTACCTCTCCCAAGTAATTCTGTCATATCTGCTGCAGAAACAGTTCACAGAAGACATCCCGAGTCCCTTATTGTGAAGGCAGAGTTAGATCAAGTTAAAAGGAGAAACTCGGTAGCTGTATTGGAGCAAGCAGGAGGCATGCTGCGAAAGCGGGGAAGAGTGTCCAGCAGTCTGTCTGTCTGACAGGGAGAGCCTGTGAGCCCGGCTGCTTTTTATAGTCCATTCCCACTGTGCTCTGCCAGTATCCAGCTGTTACGGAGGAACTGGAGAGAGCTGGTACATCTCTGTCAGGTGGATCTCCTCTGTTTTCTCCTCCCCAGGCCAAACTATCATCGCCTTTTTCGCCTCCCCTCATGGGGCAGCTACTCCATCCCCTTTATCCCTTTAGTTGCCATTCTCAGAACCTTCTCTAACTTTACTACATGCTGCTTGAGATTCAGAGAGGCCAGAGCTGCACACAGTACCACCAGGGTTTTACAGAGCAGGAAACAGCGTCTTCTGCCTTGTTCTCAATACCTTCCTTGCTGAATGAGGTACAGCATTCTGTTGGCTTGTTGGCTGCCACTGCATATTGAGCTAAAGGTATCAGAGATCCGTCAGCCATATCTCCAAAAACTCTTTGCTGAATTGTAACCACCAGCTCCGAGTTCAGCATCATATAAGTACTGTTTGGATAATTTTTCCCTCAGTGTATTACTGTACATTGAAGCGATGCTAAAGTTTACCTGCCATCTTTTTGCTCGCTCTGTCAGTCTTATGAGGCCCTTCTGGAGTTCCTTGCCCTCCGAATAGCATTTGACTGCCCCAAAGACCTCAGTATTATTGACAGACTTGAGATTTCTCCAGTTGCTTCCATGTCTGGGCTATTGAAAAAGATAATTGATTAAAGGCAGTCCCAGTACTGATACCTGGGGGAATCTCCTGCTGACTCTCCTCTGTCTTGAAAATTGATCATCAAGCCCTTCTCTTGGCTTCATAGCTGTAATCAGCTTTCAGTCCATAAAAGAGCTTTCCCTCAGCAGCAACTTAGTGTTTTAACTTTGGAACGGAGCCTTGTCAGAGCCTTTTTGAAAATTTAGCTGTACTATATTCGCTGGTTCTCTTTACTGACATATCTACTGTCTCGAAACTCTCAGATCAGTGAAGCAGGATTTACTTTCACAGGAGTCATGCTTACTCTTTCCTAAAAGACCGTGTTTACCCATATCTGCAGCGAGCTTACTCTTAGACTGAAGCAGTCAACACAACTGCTGTCCCCACTGCATGGACAGCTAGTTGTGAAGCAGTTCTTGACCAGCTGCAGCTTGTAGTCCACCCTCCTACGGTAAACCAAGCTCAGTATGGATTTATGCTAAAATGTGGTAGTGGCTCAGGAGCAGCTTCAGGAGCAACTCAGCTGCTCACCCAGTAGGAGAGAACGAGAAAGGCGGGGCAATAGATCACCTTGTGTCTCGGTGCAAGGCATCCCCACTCGTGAGCGAGTCCCCTGATTTACTGAGCAGAAGAAACGGCTCTGACGGAGTAACGCTGCTCATCTTTTGGAAGGGATACCAGAAGCCTGAAATACATCCAGTAGCTTTGCTCCACAGGGTGTGTATTATAGAAATGTATTAGAACGTGGACAGGTCATACACCACTGATAGGGGCTGAGGTTTTGCGAGTCTAGCAGAGCAGACTCTTAAATGAGGAGGTTGTCTGGTTTGTTATTTCCCTGTCAGTTAATGATGATTTGAGCAAAAGTGCTGAACTGAAATTTTGTCGAGGCAGTAGAAATATATTTTTATTATTATTACGAAGTATTTTAATAATTAAACGATATAGCTACTTTTCAAATTATGACATCTGAGATGAATGGGACTTGGCTAAACCTCTGAACAGCTAGACTGAAAGCTTGACTTGAGCACACAAGTAAAAAGTACAAAAGTTAACGTGCAGTGACAGAACTGTGAGGCAAAATTACACAGTGCTTATCTGGTCTGAGCTTTAGACTTCCTTGAGCACTATGTTCATGTTCAGCCCTGTAGCCAGGTAATTTTTACCACAACCTCTTGTGCTTTATGGAATGATTTCAGGCCAGTCCGTTACGTTTCAACTTTCTGGCTTTTTGCTTTATTTACCTGAACTGAGTGCTTGGTTTTCTTGGCCTCCACATACTTTCAAGCGTCCCGATGCCCTGATTAGCTCACTTTGTGAATTTTCAACTGTTCCCTTGTTTTACAATCTTTTTACAAGAGTAGTATATTTTCTTGGTTTATAAAATAAGTAGTCTGGCGCTTCTTGTTTTCTCCCAATTTTACATGTATGAGGAGGTTGTAGAGGATGCAGTTTTACACTAATAATCTTTACTCTGATTAGTTTCTTAGAAGTTTGTCTGCTCTCAGATACGGGTGTCTGACAAGGGACATTGCAGCTATGGGATTCTGATGATTTCCTGTCCCGTGGCAGGTGCTAGAACATGATGAATTCCGACTTGTGCGACCCCATAACAAATTGAGACTGCAATAAATCTTACTTTGCACTCTTCCAAGTGGTTTTGTCTCTAAATGGGATGCAGTATTAAATACACATAGTGTAAGATAAACTCATGTAGGAGCCCATGCTGAAGTGTGGCCAAGTTCTCCACAAAAACAGCATAGCAGAGTACCCCTCATAGTATGTTACTCGGTAAGAAAAGATACTCAGCAACTTAGGAGATCAGTCCCACATAGGACGAAAGACGTACAGTTGACACGAGTGATACAGCAGTGATACCTATTTTCGGGAGGTAGTATATTCCAGTTCTACCTTTTGACTGTATTCAAGCTGATGTGCTAATACTGGCAGATGCAGCTGCGGGTACGATTTCTCCTTGCAGCACTAAAGCCAGCTGTGACATCCCTTTTTGATACCAGCCCTGCTGTGTTTGCTTGAAAAGCCTATCTCTTTCCCCCCCTTTATTAGATATTGCCTTGCCCGGAAAGAACGCACCAGACGCAGACGCAGCTGGTTTGGCGTGAGGGGTTAGCATCAGGCACTACGTGTCAGGAAGGATACACAAGGTCTTCTGGTGCCTTAGGGCTTGAGATTAGTTTTGTGACTGTGTTTGACTTTTTATCCTATTTGAAAAAGCTCTAAGGGCTTCCAGCTGTAGGTTTCTATTTTATAGTAAGTGGACACATTAAATATAATGTCTTTAGATACCTTTTTGCAGAAGCTGCACAGAAAACTGACACTGGCACGTGAGGCCCTTTCTCAGCAAGCAACACAGAAGGCCAGGACCATTTAGCGTGTTTAAGTCGGTGCCTGCAGAAACCTTCCCCGGTCCCGTAGCATTCAGATCTAGTTGCTTACCTCTTAAATACTAAACTAGGATAAATTCAGTATGTTCAATTTGAGTATCATTTACAGTATGCCTGCTTAGTTCTTTCTTTGACAACTGGAATACAAAAATTCTGGAAGGATACCAGGAAGCAAAGCGCTTTTTCTTTCGTAACACACCCCATTTCTCTTTGTCCAGTTCCTCATCTGAACTTTTCCTTGAAATTAAACAGTGCGTCACGGTCTTCATTAAGAGCTGCTGGTAGAACATACTGCTTTTAGACCTGTGAGGCAAAAGCCCAGCAGTGTAGCTGGATGGCTGGGTGAACTTTCTGGGGATGTGGCTTTTCACTGGATCAGGTTTTCCCCACTTGCTCACCGGATTCTGCTTTGGCTAGTGCTTCAGAGCTACTACGATTTTGTGGTGGTCTCTTTATCTCCAAGCTTTTAGGAAATGTCTTGAAAGGTGTAGTATATGTGCATGATTTTTTATTGTGGTTGCAAAAACATACAGGCGGTCTTTTATACTAACGTCCATTATACTTGATAGTGACTGAAATGCTCGCTGAAACACAGGCGTAGACCAGTGGTTCCTATAAATAGTAATAATTAATATGTTTGTGCCTCTCAAATTTTATGCCGTAACATCTGTATGGCTCCTACCTTGCTGACATGTAAGAGAACTCCTGGTGTCTCTGATGACCGTTGCCTCTGCCTGGATTTCTGATCACCCAGCTTTTGTGGGTGATTCCTCCGTTCGCCAGTTCCCTGCAAGGCAAAGTGGCATTTTAATCTTGCTCGAAGCTTTTAGCGAGAATATCTGACTTTTCACATCTGCTTGACAGCTGTTTCACAGGACTTAAATCTAGAACCTGCTGATTTCTCAGTATTAGAGTTTAGTTACTCTTTATGGTGCTAGCGATAGCATTTCTCCCCTGCTTTTTGTGTTGAAACTCTTTCTTTTGAATGATTTTAAGCAATTAAGTATTTTATTCTGCCGTAAGAACTGAATTCTGTGTGTGCTTTTCCTACCAGCTGGTGAGTAGTGAGAGTTTATTTTGCTGTTACCGCAGAAGGGTGAGAGCAAGTGATGATTTATGTTAAGTATAAAATTCATGTGTCTCAAACAGGAAAAAGAAAACAGCAAGATGGAAAAAGAGGCTTTTGGTTTGAGTGTTCTAGAGCAGAGCTTTAATAAGTCTGTAGAGAGGGAATTAGCGGAGCCTTTGGTGTCTTGCCCTACTCTTATCGTTTGTCTTGCATTATTTAATTAACCAAAGATGCCACGTTTGGTTACAACGTTAAGAAATTCAATGACAGCCAGAAATTATTTTGGAATTTGAGCTCATATGTCTCCTGTATCAGGTCTGACATTTATAGCACAGCATGAAATACACTGAAGTTCTAAAGGGAGCTAAACTTTATTTTTCTCAAGTGCAACAGAAAGTGCTTGCAAGATAGAGCCGAGAGAGATGTACTTTCTGCAAAGGGAAATGAAACGCTCTGCCTCTTTTGGGGGTCTTGTGTCTTGGCACGGAGCGAGCTAAAGTGCTGGAGCAGAGTTGGAAAATTGATATTGAAGCATGTCATCTCAGTGTCGCTGTAAATCTGCTGAGCGGTGGCTCCCCCCCCGTTCAGCGGCTTTGTGGGAGAAGGGAGGGGTATGGTGCATTTCAGTACATGTGCATGCTTGTCTGTATGTTAAGCGTTTTTCTGTCTTGTATTCATTCACAGCTGTGATTAGTGCTCATCCCATCCATTCACTCGATAACCCTCACCATCATTTCCACTCCGGCAGCCTCGCTTCTCCAACTCGCAGCTATCTCCATCACCAGGTCAGCCCGTGGCCGATTGGCACATCCATGTCCCATTCAGACAGGGCCAATTCCACAGGTGAGACACGACCGATCAGATAGATTGTGCTTGTAATGGAACGATGAGTGAAACATGTGGGAAGCAGAGCCTGAACCCCACCTTGGTCAGCCTCCGCTGTGGTGGTCCGTGAGAGGCAGGGTGACGGGTTTAAGTGCAGACAGTCCTGGACAGATGGAGTTTTCCGTAAACAGCTTCTTGTGTAGATCACATACTGATCGTTAAGATACGTGATGATGGCCTTGGAAAAGGAGGCTTGATGTTTTATATGCAACCTCACATAGGAAGATTCCTTGTTGTAAAGCCTTCAACCCTGGAGTCTGAAACATCGGTTCAAATCTAATTTGAACTACTTAATGTAACTTTTTTCCTAATTAGTTGTGTTTAAGACTGAGAGACGACACAAGTCCAAACTGAGAGCTGACATCAGTCAGTCTTCCTGAACCACACAGAAAGTTGTGGTGATTTCTATGCAGCATTTTCAGCCTTGAAGTGCAGTCGTTTGCAATAGTTTTTGTAATGTTTCCAGTGCCCTGAAGAATTCTGAAGCAGCAGTGTTGCTAAATTGCCCACAGGTGACATCCTGAGATGAAGGAAATCCTGAGCTTCTCTAGTTTAAGGTCTACATTTTAATTAAGGTGCTACAGCCAACAGCGCTGTTTCCTTATGAAAACAATTAATGAGGCTGCAAATATACAGGCAGATGGTATGTTAGAGGCAGAGGTTTCCCTTGTTCTGTTCATGCTGCCGAAGCGACAGCTCTCACAATCCCCGTCTTTTCCCGCCTGTGGTCCGAGTAGGCTCACAATGCCCTAAATTCATGGTGCCAGCTCATTGTGCCAGTGGAGCAGGGTGGAGCCCGCTGCAGACAAACACATGAAGCTTGTGGTTTCATTTTAGCTTTCAGCAAGCAAAAGGATTTCAAGTCTGTCCTCTCAGAAAAAAAAATTTGGCTCTTCTGTATGCACTACAGTGATATATGCTTAATCTCTACCTATTTAAGAATGCCGATACTGTGAAACACTCAAGGGTAAAATGAGAATGAAGATTTGTGTTCCACGCTGTTTACCTGAGGTGTTATGACATGTAGCTGTTGCAGTGCAAAACTTTTGATTTGATGTTATGCCTGTGGAGTCATTCCATTCCCAAGCTTCTTTTGTTATTAGACAGTCATTGCCGTTCACCTTGGAACAGGACGGTCACGCAGAATCGGTGTTTTAATCTGTGAATTCACTTGGCTTATAACAGCGGTTTGGGAAGAGGTGCTTGCAGACACCACTGTTTTGTTTCCATCTGACCAGCGAGCACTTCTGTTAAAGAAAATAAACCACTTTTTTTTTTTTTTTTTTTTTTTTTGCCTGTTGTAGAATCTGTTCGAAACACACCTAGCACGGACACCATGCCGGCTTCCTCCTCTCAGACGTGCGCTGACCACCAGGATCCTGAAAGCACCACAGGGTCTTACCTGGCTAACTCCCAGGAGGAGGATTCAGGGCAGAACCTCCCGACGGCACACGTCCGTCCTTCCCACCCGCTGAAGAGCTTTGCGGTGCCAGCGGTTCCCCCGGCCGGCGCCGCGTACGACCCTGCATTGCCAAGCACGCCACTACTGACTCAGCAAGGTGAGCGGGCGGAAAGCGGCAAGACCCGCTTGCCTAAAAGAGGAAAAGGAGGTTTTTAAGAAGAAAATGAGAGAAGCTCCCTATGGGGTGGGGGTAGAGTTGACCATCAAAGGAAGTATGTCAGAGACCGGAGTGAATATTGTTGGTATAATTCTCGAGGCCCTTTTCCCTTACGTACACAGATAAACTAGACAGGAATTCAAATTCAGCACTCCATAATTTGAAGCGTTCATTTTCCTCTAATAGATTCCTTTTTATTCTCCTACTTTTAAGAGCTTTCAAGGCAAAAGAAGTAATTAACTGAGGCATAACTGTGTAACAATTTATTTTAAGCTCCTAACCATCCAGTTCACTCGGTGAAGACTGCGTCAATTGGGACTTTAGGAAGAACTCGGCCTCCTATGCCGGTGGTAGTTCCCAGTGCCCCTGATGTGCAGGAGACCACCAGGATGCTTGAGGACTCGGAAAGCGTAGGTACTCTTACACTGCCAGGGGCTTTCTTTGGCAGTGCTTATCAAACTGTGGTGAATCTCTCTTTATGTGATACTTGGAAACTTCAGGAGTGTCTGCACCGAGACTTTCAAAGGCAGGGGACAGTGAGGCTCCTGATTTCCACCAAGTGCCACTGCTTGTTAACCCACGTTAAAAAAGTTAATGCAAATACCTTCTACACAAGGCAGTAAAGAAACAGTTAAATTGCAAGTACTAGTAGTGCTGTCTGAATCTGGAAACTACTTAAGAGCATACCTTCATTCCTAATTACACCACACTCTAAACAGATGCAGGGCTTCCGTCTATTCCGGTCCACAAGGCCCACTCAGTCAAAAAGTGCAAAACCTTGGACAACATTTTGGCTGAGCTGAGGCTATTGGCTGAACACAGAGTAACATTCTCTGAGATTTCCTTTCCTGACTCATGCTCAGCGCTTCTGGTTTCTGCTAACCTATCACAAGTACAAAACGAGGGGAGTAAAGACAGATACCATTCAGCGCTAGTCTTGTCTTTACAGTGCGTGGTGCTTAATGGAGCTTTGGTTTCTGACTTGGGCTTCTATATTCAGGCGTCTGGACTGGAGCTGTAGAAGTGCCCTGCACATCTGTTTGTTGCCTGCTTATCTTGATGTAAAGAGCATCTTTGTTCACAGAGCTGAAGGCCTCCAACAGTGCCGTTTGCTCTTCTGTACAGCTTAAGATGTTGCGTTCACACTCGCTTGGAGATGTCATTTATTTCTGTGTTTTGCCAGCATACTGTGCCTGGAGCCTCTTAAAGTCATGCAGCTGCAGCTTCCTGGCCTGCTGCAGAGCAGCCAGAGCGCGATTGCAAATGGAAAATTTAGCGTCAATGCCACAGTGCTTCAAGCCATCACCCCAAATATGATCTTAGATACTTGTGTGAAAGTCTTCTGACTTTCAGGGAAAAATGCAACCAATTGTTGGGCTTCTTTGGAAACAACTTTTAGGAAGTGATGAGGATATTTTGGGTGTCAGGCACTGGAGGAACTGTTTTCCTTTCAAATTGCAAGCCAGGAAGTTAATGTATTAGCTAGTGTATTATTGCTACAGGAAATGCATGTTTTAAATGATTCTTTTTTTTCCTCTTTTCCTTATTGTCCTTTCCTTTTGTCACCCGCTTGATTTGGTGCACGTTTGCCCTTCTGCCTCACTCCTACTTTTTTTTTTTTTTGGTTGGTACCAAAAATATACCCATTGCTTTGTTCATCACCGAGTTTATAATCTTTAAATATATCCATTAATGAATTAGTACATTATAAAGTCACCACAGCACACTAAATACTAGTTAGGTTATGAGTTTTAGGATTAGGTAGTGACTGAATTTATTCTGTTTTTTTTTTATGAGAGCCTTTATGGAATGAGTGTATGTCCAGCTCACTGCTATTTATCATTGTCAATAGTCAGCAGATAATGCATTGGATACAGAACAGAGATGACTTTTCTGGTACAATCTAGATTGCTTGGTAAACTGGAAGGGGCCTGCTGCGTTCATTTCTCTTTAAATGAAGGAAAAGGTTTGTATCCAGAAGCAAAGCAGCAAGATCACAGTCAAGGGTGAAGGCTCCACTCTGGGAAGGACTTGAGTTTGACAGTACACAGTCAGCTGAGCAGCAGCTTTAATATTAGAGTCTAGCCAAGAAAGTCTGATAATGGACCTTAAATGTATAGAGCAGAAACTATCAAACAGGAGTTCTCTTGCTTCTAATCTAGCATCAGCAGAGCTGGCGGTGGAATGCCACATGCAGCCTGGCTTGCCTTCTGTGAAAACAATGTTGAGAGCACAGAGGGTTTGGAGAGGTGCTCCAAGAACATAAGGGCTTGAAACCTGCTCAGTACTGGGAAAGACTTGGTCAGCCTAGAAAAGGTTCTGAGATTAATTAGTTCATGGTATCTATCTACATACATGCCCTGGTAACAGAATGGGTAGAGCTGTGCAGTATAGTGGAAGCTAGACAACTGCAGCTAAAAATGGAGTCTGATTTTAGCAAGCATAATTACTCTCAAAACAGTTTTATTGAAGTGATGCCTTTGACCTTTTTTTCCAATTAAGCCGGGAAGCTTTTTCTAAAATATCTACTTTGGTTCAAAGGAAGCTGTTATCTTGAAGCAGGAATGGATAAAAGGAAAACAGATAAGATGATCACAGTCTTAAAAATAAGAAACTATGAATCTCTATTGCAAAAAGATCAGCACTTAAAATAGAAAGTTGTTTCAAGTCATTAATTCCTGTAACTGTCAATAAATCTGCTTCTGCTTAATCACGTGTCAGGGTCACAATCTACACCGGAATCACTGACCATTTCTTCTTAGTTCTCATTCTGTCCCTCTTTCAAGAAAGCAAGTCAGCCTGTCAGTAACTCTTTACATCTCCCACAGAATTATGAACCGGATGAGCTGACCAAAGAGATGGCCCACCTGGAAGGACTTATGAAGGACCTTAATGCCATCACTACAGCATGACCACCTTCACCAGGACATGACTCCAACGCGTTTCACAAGTCTTGGGACTCAGCCTTGGAACACAAGGAATTGTACAGAGGGGAAAAAAAAAGATTAAAAAAAAAAAAAAAAAAAAAAAAAAAACCAGAAAGAGAGACAGCACATGAGAGCATACACAGAAAGCAACCGAACCAACCAGTGCATTTGTGCTAGAGCTGGTCCAAGAGAGACGACCGTTCTTGTCATCGTCCTGCAATGAAGTCATTGCCAAGTTGAATTCCATTTACCTGCTGAAGACCATGCAGGATGGGACGCATCAGGCTGAAATCTAGCATCCAGACAAAAGGAAAAAAAGTGGACCTCACATTTTTTTTTCTGGTCAGGTTTTGTCTCAGTGGTGTGATTGCCCTGCCTTTTCAGTGTTGGACATTCGCATTTATGTACAATTTTATTTGTGTTTTTATTTTATCTTTTTTTATAAAAAGCAAAAAAATATTGTAATAAAAAAAAAAGGAGAAACTGTTGTTTTCCACAGCCTAGACTGACGTTTGACTGCTTGTTCTATTGTGTATGAAAATTCATTGCCAGTGTGGGTTGTTGTTTTGTTTTTTTATTCTGCGTATAATTACATCCCCTTCTGGCAGTTAATCCATGGCCTTTTGGGATGCTGCACTGCTATTTGTAAGCTTTTTTTATTATTTTTATATTATAATTATTAAAAGCCTGACTTTCTCCTCTCATCACTGTGAGATTACCAGTCTGTTTGAATTGAAATGTAATTTGAAAGGCTTGTTTGTCGCTTTTTGTGCAGTTTCAATATTTTGAGTGGGGAAAAGTAGATGGGGAAGGGGAGGGGATCCAGTGGGAGGTTTCATTATTGTTGTTTTCCTGTCTTTCTACCTTGACTCGAAAGACTGAAGAAAATGAAAGCATCTTCTGTAACGTCCTTCCTTGTAACTTTGGCATACTGTGTCTCTGGTTACTGAATTGCAGTGGGAGTCTCATTTAGAATCATTGAAAAAAAAATTCCTCCTGTAAAGTAGGGTTCCGTTCCTTATGTTTAGATGACACTACAGCTTATTTTGGCAACAGTGCTCTGTTTTGTTGTTGTTAGTTTAAAGATCACATCATGAAACATGAAAGTGCAGATTGAGAGCTTAGCACAGGCAGCAGTGCACAACACTTCTCTGCTGGTGGTGCTTAGATTTGAGCTACATGGACCTCCCAGAAGCAGAGAACTGTGGACCTCTTCTCATCAGCAACACACCCCGTCATACTTTTGAGAACACTACATGTCCACAGGATCCTTCAGCAGCAAGTCCAACCCCAGGGCAATTTCTCTATCCCAGGCCATTTAAACAAGAATCTTTCTCTTAAGGGTTCTTCAGAGACATAAGCAAGGCAAAAAAAGTATTTTTTTACACTTTTGAAACCATTTGAAAAGAAAAACAGTATTAGTGACTCAGGTGCCATTCACACATCTGTCTAGAAAGGAAGGAAAGTTAAAAGGGAACTCCTATACGAGGGGAAGGAAGAGGGTTTTTTCTTTTCCCCTTGTATGATTGCCCGGCTCTGACATATTCTATGAGAAGGAATGGCATAAAAAGGAGGGACTGTATTTTAGTGAAAAAAAAAAAAAACAACGCCCAGCTGCCTAATGAACTCGCATGCAATTTCACTTTTAAGATGAAAGGAAACTCAAAACTTACCAGTGATTCAGATGGAGAATCTGTTCCTCCTGAGCAATGGGACTTGTGATCTCGGGGGCTCAGCCGTAACGATGGAGGACGCACAGGTAACAGGCCCTTCAGGCAGGGGGCACTGCTGGAGGCCACACTGCCCCTGCTAGATGGCTGTACCTGTTGGAACATTAAGAGAAAAATACCATAATCTGCTTAAATGTAAAAAACAACCAAAAAACCCCCATAAATTTTCTTCATTTTTCTTCTTCTAGCCATTTGACTAAAGCTCAAGCTCCAGGCCCATTTTCACAGTCCTCGTCACCAAGAAAAGGAATCAGCCTGGAGGGCAGCAGGGCCTTGGGTTGTAGTTTTACTCCCTTTTCCTGGACTCTCTGTTGTCATTTCTAAGACGTTTGCTGGGCTTATTTATTATTTGAGGGGGAGAGGGAATCAAATTAATTGGAGCACCGTGGGCCACCTGGATAATTGATGTTTGGACTTTTAATCGATACAATTCAGGGCAAAATAAACTACAGAATATGTATTTAAATAGTAAAAGATACACACCCTGTCCTGAAAGAGAGGGTGTACGTTTTCCTTTGCCTATTTTTTACCTATACCCAAAGAAATACCATCATACATACACAGTATTCCTAGCTGGTGGGTCTTTGTGAATATTACTTATGTATAACACCACGAATGTTAATATTGTCATTGAAATTGGGGAGGGGGAATATTTTTAATGATAAAACAACTGTTCAAAGTTGGTTTTTTAAGGTTAAACTGAAAAAAAAAAAAAAAAAACATTTATTCAGTGTACAATCTGTATTGCACTTTTTCACATTTTAATGCTACGTTTTCTTACATATCCTGTGATTTTAAATTTGGAACATTGTGTATCCTTGTAGTGTCATAGTCAAGCTGTTAAGTGACAGCTCCCCTCAGAGACATTTGGGGAAAAAACCAAACCTGTATATTGTTTTATGATTCTCATGTAGAATAATTTTGAGGACTGCTGTAGACGTCTACCTTTCTGTACAATTTTTTTGCTTTTCTGTAGTATTTGCTGTATACTCTATGGCTTTTTTTAATACCTTCATGTTTATTATTTTGTATTGGACATCCAATACACTTTTTTTAATCCAATCAAGTTCTGGTCTGCTTGGAGAGTTTGTTCTCTTTAATTATTCCTATACCATTTTTTTTTCCTTAACAGTATGGTGACCAGGTTTGGAATTTTACTCGCCTCTTTTTTGTTGTGATTTGGTAGGTCGTGTCTTCCAGAGAAAGAAGAGGAACTGTTATTCCCCACCCTGCCCTGTCTGTGTGCAGACAATGAGCATGTAGTGTCTTTCTGGCTAACTCCCCTCCATCCCAAAGCTCAATAGCAGCACTATCACCTTCTATCAAGCAAGCATCAGAACAAAGGGTTTCAAAGCAGTGAAAGTACATTTAACAGCCTTAGTAAACCAGTAAATCACAGAAAAATACTACTATAGTTCCTTGAATATAGCCCTGTCTGTCTATAGATTTTAAAGTGCAGTAATTGATATCCTTGTTGTTGCCCTCACGCTAACTCCAGGCTCTTCCTTTCAGTACTAGAGACACACTGATCATCAGCCTCATCTCTGCAAACCAGCCTCTTCCCCTGCTCACTTGTGTCCCATGTTCTTGGCAGCGTTAGGCCATTCCTTATCCCAGCCTCTGCAAACAGGAATACAGGCTACTGCCTTGTTTTACACACACACACACCCCCCAGCTCACCCCCCTCCTTTTCCTTTTTGCTAGTCAGATCTTCTGTTTACTCATTCAACTCTGTGACCACACAGCTCTCGGGTGGGAACTGGACCCTGCAATTCTCCTGGGGGGACGCAGTGACCCTGCAGCTGGTCAGGGACTTCTCAGCCACGCTGGCATTGCTGGAGGGTGTGCGTGTATAGAGGCGCAGGAGAGGAGAAACGGGGAGTGAAGGCATTCCTCCTTCTGTTGAGAGCGTCACAAGGTACAGACAGACAGAGTGGAAACAGAGGAAAAGGCAAAACACACCCACACTCCCCCCTCCCTAGTTCTCTACTCGCTAACCGCGAGCTCTGAGAAGTGAGTATTTCTTGCTAGGTTAGTCCGTGCAGATAATACGCCGTGCTGCTTTGCACTTCAAGCCAGATGGAAAGGTGACAGTTGTGAGGCATCCAGCCCGCTTTAAGGAGGTGGCAGGGGTACCTGCGGGCTGGGGACACCAGAGGGCAGCGGTGACCCGCTGCTGACAGAGCTGCCGGGAAACCTGCAGCATCCACCTCGGAGACAATAACCCACCTCCCTCCTGCCTGGTGCTAGGAAACTAACGTTAACGATGCCACCTTCTTAGTAGAGGTTCAGGAAAGAACTCAAGTTGCAAACTAGAGTTTTTTCATGCCTAGCTGTGGCTTTCCTCAACAACCCTTCGGCTTCCCACACAGAAGCAAGGGGTTGCTGTGAACACCTTGGATAAATCGGTGCAACACTTGGAGGTTTTTCCCTGTTAAGAACAGCTGTCTTAAGATGAATTGAGGCTGGATTTCAAACTAGCTCACAGCAAAACACTGTTCACCTCCAATAGAAGCATTCCTGTAGGGGCTCAACATGGTTTAACTAAACTGCCAAAACCATTAAACCATTACAACTTTCCTGTGGGGCTAGGTCTCCCCTAACCCAACACTGGCTTCGGCCAAATTACATGTCTCCCCTTTCTACACCTGCAGCCTGTGTGACTTTTAAAAGCCAAATGTCGAGCTGCGGTGTGACTCCTCTAGAACCTTCCATAAGCAGACATAGCAAAACTCCTGCCTCCAAAAAAGCTCGCCAGCTCTCCAGTCTGATGGACACCCTGGAAATCAAGGGTACAATCAGCCTAGCAAGCAAACATGCAGGGGTGATGGGGGCAGAGGCAGCAGGCAGGGCCAGCGGGTTTGGAAAAGCCAATCCTTGACAGGCATAAAGTGGAAAAGCAGCAATGAGAACACCCCTGTAAGAGTGAAAAGGTGGCAAACACCCACAGATCCAGACTGTAAACCTGCATTTTGAAAAGTCAGGAAAAGCCTGAGTGGGATAGAGCGCCAGGGAGACAAACTAAAATCCAGTGAGGGAGAGCAAAGAAGTGTTTGGCATCCTCTGAGTGCTGCTGGGCCACCTCACTGGGGGGAAAATGTTCTCCACCAGCTGAGGGAGGCTCTGGCCAGGGGTTCCTGCATGCACAGGTGCCTGGCTCACTTTCCCTCCACCCACGGAGCTCGTAGCAGTTGCACTAGGACAATAACCTATTCCTTATCCTTTAGTAATTGACAATCGACTTTTTCCAGTTGCTTTTCCATTTCAGCTCCTGTTTCCCAACTTTCTTCCAGCACACGTCGCATTTCCTCCAGACCTTCCTCTCAATAGGGACAGCTGGTTCCTATAGGCCTGAAATTTAGACCAAATGCTAATTTT